TTATTCCCCTTTTGATTTTTTGTCTGAAGTGCAAGTGCTCAGCATAGCAAACGTCTTGCAGTCTTCACTTCAGATCCTTTTATGCCGCATTCATCAGCGATAGGATGAAACACATCTCACTGACAGCTGAACTGCTCCTGCCCTGGCTCTCCGAGGTGGCAGTGATGGACTGGTGTCATCGTTTCAGTCAGTTAGGGCTGCAGTGAAGATACTGCTAGTGTGTAGGTCTGTGGAGGAGAGGGATGGTACTGTACCTTGGAATGTGGGTGTGGGGGATTGTTTTGTTTGGCTTTACTATGATTCTGAGATAAAAGTGGGTAAGAATGCTATAGCAAATAGTTTGTAGGGATCAATCTTCGTGCCATCCTGCAGCGAGTCTCTGGCATTAATCGAGAGACATCTCTGCCTGATATTAAGCTTACAGAGGAGTTATATCTGGGGCATTTATGGATATGATGAGCATATTTGGAAAAAAGCTTGAAGTTCCAGGTTATCTGTCCAACTTCAAAACATGATTGAGAGCATTGACAAATGCACAGATGTGGACAGGTAACTGCTTGCTTACCAATCACAATTGAGGCAATCCAAGAAATGTCCTTGTGCTACACAAAATGAAAATAAGTTTGTTCACACTGAGTGCAAACCTCAGGGCATTAGTGACTTCCAGAGAAAAGTTTATGCAGCAAATACTAGGACCATGTTTTATTTTCCTCCATAAATGATGAGTTTGCCACCAACTGGCAGACTTCCCATATACTTACTAGGAAAGGAAAGAGCTCAGCAAATAGCTATTGTTGACTTCAAAAGAAAAAGAAAATAATGCTAGATAAATTTATTTGGGAAGGAAAACTGGAATGTAGGAAAAAATAGTGGGAGAAAAAAATGTCCCCTTATCTTTTAAATTGTGTGAATGTCAGAAGTACCATCCAAAAATCTTAAGATTTTGATGTTATGTAAACATAACCATGGGATGGTTTAACTTACTTCTAAAAGTCTAATGAATGCATAAAGCCAAGTAAAATATTCATTAGAGTAATTGGTTCAGTTCAACCTCTCAAGGCTACAGCTTGGAAATATACACACTATTGCCTTTAGAAATGCAGCATGTTGATTCACCAACCATTTTACTCAACTCATTTTCATGCCATATGCTTACTATGCTTTGCAAAATCTAATTAAGTAACTGAGGCAGCAGTTTGCAAGCAATATTTGATACATTTTTAAGCCAAAGTTTAAGTGGTATCCAGAGTAAAACTTGTTCAGTTGCAAGACATCAGAAATTGTAAGATATTCTTGTATTAAAACAATGGAATATGGAAGTACTTACATGAGTGATAATATAGTAAAAAGTTGTTTCAAAATAGTAATCTGTTTATTAATTCACTTAGATATGACTAAATGAAGTGTAAAATTCATTAATGTGCTATCTAGACAGTTTTCACTGTAGGAAGCTGGTTTTAGTGTCACATGACGAATTCATCATACCCTCATAGGTTTTCCTCTCTCCTCCCCTCTGTGATGGGCATCTGCCTCAGACCATATGGTTTTGGAAAATTTTAATTGAAATTCTTCTGTCACGGAGCTGAGCTAGAGAAAACCTAACTTGCTTATAATTGCTAAAAATGTTGTAGAGACCTTCTGTTTCCATGCGGAGGAGCAGAAACTTGAAGCTTCACACAGGCGGGTAACTTGTGCCAGGGACAGGCTTTTGCTTTCGATGAAAGTGCCGAATATTGGCCAACTTGTGTACCTTTCACAATTTCTTCATTTCCAACAGAGACTTGCTGCAGTCTCTTGTGACTGTGTCCTCATGAAACCTGTGTTCTCTGGAATCTGATAATTCTCCTGTGACTGTGTCCTTATGAAACCTCTCTTGGCTTCTCTTGCTGGCGCATCTATAGATGGCTCTATCCTGTCACAGGTCCAGTGCATGGTCCAGGTGCTCGTGTGCCATCACCACAGGTGGCAGGACAGGCTGGTGGAGCTCTGCATTGTCCTCAGTTGGAGTTTTAGCCTTCTGCCATTGCCAAATTGTGGGTTCTTGTGAATGACCCCTGACTCTAAATGTTAGCCCTGCTGTGCAGTTCCCCAAACCTTCCTGACTCAGCACAGCATCACGATGGTTAAAAGTGAGTGTTAAAATTGACATAGACATTGGCACTCTTCTAGCTGATCTGCAAAGCTAAGCACAGAGGTTTAGCGAGTATTGATTCTGTTGCAGAGACAAATAGGTGTTTCTTGAAATGCACCTTTGCAGCTGTTTGCGGGTCCTTCAACTACTGCTGCTATCGTGATGTTTTAAAAAAGAAAGCAACTCTTGGAATAAACAGCCTGCTGCAATGGTATGTTGAGTGTGCTGCCAGGGCAGCCCTTGCTGGGGCTGTGGGTGAATGCCCTTGGAGCAGCAGCTCTGTGGGAGGAGGCAGAGGCTGGCTGCAAGGGAGCTGCACTGGAGCTCCTGGACAGGGTGAAGCAGAGACGGCTCGGGGAGCTTCTGGGCAGAGAGGGGACACACATGTAGGGTTAGCAGCTTACATGGAAGGGAGCCAAAACTGAGAGTCTTGTAGCAGCTGAAGCCTGGTTAATGCCTGTTTCAGTATTTTTGGTCATTTTTTTCAAGTGTTGCATGTGCCTTGGTGGTTTGTGAGTGGGGATTAGATTAAAAGAATTATTTGAGTCTCTTTGAGTTTATTTTTCATTTGTGTTTGTGCATCTTTTCTTTAGCTTAGTGATGTGAGCATTCCCAATAATCAGAGGATTAGGGTAAAGACTTTTATTGGTCTATTCCCCTGTTGCTACCTTTAGCAAAATGTTGTTAAAAAACCATTTTGGATCTGATCATCAAACCATTGTGCATCTTTTTCACATGCCTCTTGAACTCTTCCAATTAAGTTTTTAACCCTTGTATAACACCTCTCCTGCCTTTGTTCATTAAATACATAGTTTCCTGGTTTCAAGGAGTATGACTGAGAAACTTGTAATATTCCAAAGTATTTTAAAGAAGCACAGTTTATAAAATTTGATGAGCTTCTTAGGTGATGTAATCTAAAAAGAAACACTTAATAAAACAGTCTTCTTTTATCGAAACACAAAAGTTAATGTTGACTGAACATTGAATCAAAGAGCAAAATGTCATTATTCCTGCACTTCTTTTTTATTCCTAGCCATATATAGCTTTGAGAATATTATTCTTACAGCAATGAAGTTTACTTCTAGCACAGAGGAACTCTTTATGAGCAATTTTTACTGACAGATTAAGAAGGCTGTGACATAACTTTACATATTGTCAGTAAATATGGTCTTGCACTGTTGCCACTTGAGATCTTGTTCCATTAGTAAAATTTTATATGATATCAAATATAATTTTTGTCCTGAAGTAAGTACAATAGCTAGAAAGTGTTTATAGACAGCCTTTAATATCATGCTCTTGGACTGTGCCTGATACTGTATGGTGCTGGTGATAAGAGTAAAGAATTAGGAAAAATGCCAATGTGGGCACAGTGGAATTCATTATTGCAGTGGGATTCAGGATCTTGCTAGTGTAATGTTTATGGGTATGGTTTATGTGTAACTTAGTGAAACATCTTAAAAATTCATTGTAGTTTGTATGTGCATAATGCTGTAGCATTATGATACTTTTGTGGTACCAGTCATGAAAAATGTATATCACAAGAGAGAGCTGGCACCACAGCTGTTTTTTTTCTGATAGTCAGGCTGTATATTTCCATCTTGTTGCTGATGTTTGAAAACCTTTTGGTCGGTGTAGAGCTTAGGTGATTATATGAACCTTGTGGGAACAGGAAACATCTGAAGAGTGTTTTTCGCTGTTTGTGCTAAACAGAATGAGGATTAATTAAAGTGTACTACCAAGGAAGAGTAATCAAGCGTCTGTATCTTTTTTTCATTATTATTTACCTGATGTTGTAAAAGTTCCCAGCATCTTTCAAATACACCATATTCCTTTGGATCATAACATTCCTTTGTTTTGTGGACTTATTTATAAAATAGGCATAAGTAAGCATGTAGGACTTGGTTGTGTTAGTTCCCCATACATCTAAGTAGTCTTTGCTCATGATAATTATTTTCCAAATGACTTAAGTTGTTTTGCATAATGGCAAAAATTTCCTTGGCATTTGCACCCTAGCCTTGTGAAAGCTTAGCTAGGACTTTGTGTGCCAATGCATACAGAAACCCTCTGATCATCTGGGTGTCCGCCCACGGGTAAATGTAAAGGACAGAGGGGGTCCTGTTGACTTCTGTAGGGCTGCTGGGCACTGAAAGCATGCGTGTGGTGCCTCGCTGATCTGAAGTCCGCGTTGTAGCCTGTGCTGTAATACACAAAAGCTGAGATCTGCTCTGCGTGGTGCTGGCAATGTGTACATTCAAACCAAGAATTCCTACTGGCAGAACAAACAGCTCCATTTTCTTGTCTCCTTGAAACAGACCTAGCAAAGTACAAGTGGTCAGCTTCTCAAAGGGCACACCTAAATAGATCCTGCTTTTCAGAGATGGAGACAAACCCCCTCATAGGTGAATCACTCAGCAAAACAACAACACCCCCACAAAAACCCAGCCGGGGATGTTACGGTGACGCTCCCAGACAAACAGCTGTCCCAGATGTTGATGCTGCGGGTGCAAGGTGTGATCTGCCGGGCTGTGTTTCCGCGGGTGCTCAGCAGCGCTGTGCTGTGCTCGGCGAAGGGCTATAATTAGATTAGCAGCCTGCTCAGCAGCGGTGCCAGCCTGCGAGCCTCAGCGAGCATGTGCTGGATTCTGCATGTGCCTCCCGCTTATTGGCGGCCGGGGTTGCTGCCTGCCGGTTTGATAGGTTTCCCCAGTAATCTTTATGCTGCATTACAGACATAGATACAGAGGTACTGCGTGCATACAACGGGAGAGGTGCTCAGCTTGTAGCGTAAAAGAAAGCCCACAGATGAAAGCACTGGTCTTTGTTGCATCAATACTTAAGGACTGCTAGCTGGGAGCAGAGAGGTCAGTGAAGGAGTTTTACTTGGTGGTAATTACTTTCAGGTCTTTATCTCTCCGGTAAAACAGTCATGCATGAAATGAATACTGTTAATCATGTCATCTGTTTAATTTGATCTTGCTTTCGTTAATGTCATGTATACTCGGGTGGGAGAGCCATCAGATTACAAAACATATCATTGGAGTGGGTTCAATTCAAAAATAGAGTTCATTTATATGAGAATATTGCTTTCATTTGAAATTTTGAGCCTGTGCATGAGAGTGATTTTACTGGTTGCCTTTTGTTATGCAAATAGAAATATTTCTTTTATTGGAATGTTTTCTGCCGAGCAATTGAATTAGAGCATGTATAACTATTAGCATATGAAGATAAATCTGTAAATATTGATCAGTTTAAAGAATAATTTTGTGAAATATTCTTTAATATGATCACAGCAATAACTATCTTGATGGTTCTCTTGCAACAAGGTAGAGGGATGAGGAGTATTATGCTATTGTTCTTTCAACAAAGATGCTAGAGCCTTCATGTTTGGGTGGATTCTTTGTTTCATCTACTGGCTTTTATTTTAAGTGGCTTTCAAAATGAAACTGAAGCTATTCAGCCTGGTAGATTTCAATATATCCTTTGCTTGCACATACATGTATTTTGTACGTATTTATTGTTCTCAAAGGCTGAATTTTGGCCCAAAGCCTTGTTTATTATGAGAACTGCCTTTAGCAGTAGAAAGAAACAAGATAAATATATGCCAATCTTTTAATCTGCAATTCTGAGACTATTACAGTATTTATCATAGCGTCATACTCATTTAAGTTTTTTCATACTTGACCTACGCATCAATTGATCACAACTTTTCCTATAAAAAGCATGCATATTTAATGAAAACATTCTACAGTGAAAGCTGTTCAGCACAAAAGAAAGCAAGCATAAAGTATTAAAAAAAAAGTCTCATAATGTAGTCATGACTCATTTGATGAGTTTTGAATACTAAGACTGACTGATGAGACTTCAAAGTTAATGCCCTTGTCTGTGTCAGACTCCAGAGCCCACATGAACTTGTATATTAAGTCACCAGTCATCTGGCTGGCTGGCTGCCACCATGCGTCCGAGGTACGAGTAGATTGTCTCAGCCAGATCAGAAAGGTGTTAGGAACAGGAGCTATTTTGGTATTAGTCTTCATTCAGCCCTCTGCACTTATCCTTGAAGAGGTTTCTTCTACTTTATAAAGCAAAGTATAATTTAGGTTGTTCCCTTTTAAAGTATGTGGTGTGCAACTGTGTTTCCTTCTGAGTAGGTACCCTCTAATGTGAGCATTTATTTAGTTACCAGCTTTATATGGCAGTGAGTACAGCAAAGACATGTTCTTTATTATTTGTGAATGTATATTCAGACAGAAGAGTTTTTGGGAGGTTTAATTACAGCTGGTACATAACAGTTGGTTTGAAGTTTTGCTGTTGACTAAAACAGGTAACTTGGTATCTATTTTAGTCAAGAGCAAGTCTTTTTTTCATATTCCAGGAGCTGTTTTTGAAGTTGTTTTCCTTTAGGCAGACTTGGAAAATGGCATTTTTGCATTGTGACAGTTAAGCCTGGACAAGGAAGACTCAGGATGTGAAGGCGTGTTATTCTTGAGCTGTTCCATATGCCCTCATTGCCCCAAGTTACCAACCAAAACTGTTTTAAAGATGCTCTAAATTGATTTATGGCTTCTGCCTTTTTTTAACAGAGGATCATGTTAAGTAATTCATTTGTGTTTTTATAACCTTTGCAACAGCATCCCATGAAGGAGTAACTGAAATCAATGTAAGTAATAATGAAATGGAGATGGTAGATATCCTCAGCTGAATCACATGTTTACCATATCCAGATGAGTGGATTTCCAAGAGAGAAGAGGCTGATGTTTTCTATTCCATGTATTAGGTTATTCCTATTTGTACGCAACATAAAGTATGTCTGGAAAAATGCTGTAAAAGTTATCATATTTTTGGTGGTGGATACAGGTAATACCACCACCCACTGGAACTGAAATGATGCACACACAGCTATTCAGCTATTCTGCCTCCAGAAAGAGCTGTGTTGATCTACGCAAGCATCACAAGAAAACGTGACAGTAGTGAAACTAGAACTGGTGACCCTATAATTTAACTTTGCAATAGCTTAATAGCAAGGAATATGCTACTTTGTTATTGCTTCATTTTGTTACAACCTCATTTTTCTTCTCTGTAAAGTAAGAAAAATTGAAGCAACACTTTGTGTGAATTACTCTCTAAAAAGTTGAAATCCTTGTTGCTATAAGCGCATTTTAACTATAACCAGTGTATTGCTCTAGGAAATTTAACACACTTTAGATTATTATATATGAGATTTTGTATTCAAGCTTTGTCAGTGAGTTTCTTGACCGAAAAGTTCTTAATTACTCTTTTGTTGGGAGATGTATGCATAGCATGTTTGTTATGTGCCTCTGTGAACTGTACTCATTTCTGATGTGTTGCCCTGTAGTTAAATCTCCAAGTCCTTTGTTATGTGAAAAGGAAACTTTTCTTTCCCAACAGGAATACAATATGTATGTGTATACACAGATGTATGGTAAAGAGACAAAAGTATGTTGTGAAAATCAAGATCTCAAGTGTTTAATTTATGTATGCAGGTAAACATGTAAAAATACATATATATTTTCTACCAGATAAGTCTAGCATATGTTTGTGTAGAAAAACACTTTCAATGAGAATACCAGTATTCTCATAATAATCCAATAGAAATATTCTTGGAAGAATAATGTTAGAAATACCAGATTTGGCTGCTGGCTGGAGATGGGATATATTCAGTAAACTGAGTGACTGTAATAAACAGTGCTGCACTAGCTCTTCCTATTTAAGATATTATGTCCTTTTACTGCTATGTATATAAGTGAATTACTTAAACCCTTACCAAGTCTGAAGGGGAAAGATGATACTTAAGGTTAATGCATTTTTTTTTTGTAGCCTGTTAGCAATGAAAGAGATACTCCAGAAAAAGTCGTAAGGATTTAAAGCATTACCACAGTGTTTATTTTGCAGGATTTGTACTTACATGCCTTACAGTTTTTAAGTCAAGTCGCTGCCAGTGATATATGCATAAAGGTTTATATTAGAATAAGAAAAGTGACATTGTGCCCTAAAGCTCCTTTCTGCTTTTCCTCTGTTTTTGGAGTCAACTCCAGTTATTACTTTGCTGATGAAATGACTGTCTACTTAAATGGTCGAGACATTCAATAGCCCATCTATAAATGCTTATTATAACACTTCGAGAGTTCACAGGAAATCAATAGCCTGTTTTCTGTATTTTGTTGAGTGAAGATCATTTCATTCTTCAAATCTGAAGACTATTGGGCTGGGTGAAAATGCAGGATGAGTCCTCTCAGTGCATCAGCTTGGGAAGGCCTTATTGTTGTGACACTCTTCCTGCACGGATGCAGCAGCACTGTTTAATGGGGTCCAAAATGTTCCTTGTATGCAGACAGCTGTTGCTCCAGTTCAGAGACATGTCTTCCCATGCCCTGGGACTGGGCACAGGACAGCTGGTGGCAGGGAATGTCTGCCATGCCCTGCCTTCCCCTCCTGCGGGGCTCTTTGCCTAGCACAAGTTATCCTGGGGGCCAACCATGTGGATTTAGAAACTGGATGAATGAAATGTCTAGGTTTGGGCAGCTGTGTGTCAAGCATTTGCAATGTTAAGAGTAGAATTATGTTTTATAGAGCAGGAAGTGAAAGTGGCTCTTCTTTGCAGTTCTCACAGTGGTATGGTGAATTAAAAGCAAAATGGATATTAATTTTTTTACACTTAATCTCCTGTTGTGATTAATTTAAATTGTTCTTAAATATATTACCTGCAGTATTAAGTGTGACTTGATAGATTAAATGCAGAATACAGCCAGCAAATAGTAATCCTGGGTGCTATTGTCTGCATAATCCTGATAATGAGATTAATTTCATGTTATCTTTCATGGATGTGCTTTGGCCACCTGTAGACATAAATATTTGCTGCATCTTTCCATGAAGCACCTGGAGCTTCCAACCCCAATCCTCAATTTGTATATATGTAACTTTTAAACATTAATTGTCCGTTCCATAACAGATGTTATTTGGGTTTGTGTCCCATTGTGTAGCTGTTGCATATTTCTGTAGTATATTGGTTTATTAATTGAAACAATATTTATACATTGATGATGGTCCTATGGCCATCTACTTATTTGGCTGCTTATCTGTTGGGTATTGTAGAATAATTTTACTATATCATCCATACTTTCCTGAATGTGTGTAATAGAAAAACCCCAATTAATGGCAAAGAAGGCTATTAAAGTCTTTCTTTTTTTTTTTTTTTAAGAAAGCTTAAGAAAGTTGGTAGACTAAAGCAAAGCTTATTCTACTTCCTGATTAGGAAATCAATAAAAACAATGCTGTAAGAAAGTGATGCCATGTGTGAGAAGACTTGTACATGTTATTAGTGCTGTTTAACTGGAGAGAAACATGAATACCTAGATTTGCAGTGGTATGCACATTTTCACAAATTTGTGAACATTTGGCTCTTTCATCTATTTTGGGTCCTGTTAGAGTCCATGGATATAAGTGGGTTTTTTTAGGGTCTGGTTTTGTATATAATGTTACTGAAGGAGAGATGTTAATACAATGTGGTGTGTTGGCCTATAATACAAAAGCACAATATGATACAGTTTCTATGCCAAAATGTTTCCTGCCTGGATAATCTAGGCAGAAAAACGATAGAGAGGGGAGAAACGGAGACAATAAAGATGAATTATCTTTTATGTGACCACAAACTGAGGAGTTGCAAGGTTGACTGAACAGTCTGTGCTTTAGGATTATAAACCATCACTGCAAATGTCTTTACAAAGAGTGAAAAATATAAGATCTGTGTAACTATTCCTGTCTATACAGTACAAACTTCCCAGGATAAGGATGATATCCTTCTGTCTCAATGTCATAATTGTCATTGGATATTTTGGGCATTGCAGTAATTTGGAAATGAGTGTGCAGCTTTGTATTTCTACTGTGACATTACAACAGTAGTCTAGTTAGAAGATGTATGAGGGATGTGGTAAACTATATCCCTTCCTCTTTCCATTACTGTTACGTCAGCCCTACTGTAATCCATGGTTCTGTGCCATGTGGTGTCCCCTGTTTTCCTTTACCATATTGTGGAGTGCAGAGGTTGCTATTTTGGCCCCTAGCTCTCCAGGGATTTGGTCAAGACTGTCAGGAGTTGTGCAATTGCTGTAAATTTTCTGTGAAACACAGGTACCATGGAGGGTGCAGCAGAAGAGGACCTCCAAATATGATGTTAATAGCCCCCAGTGTTTTGCTGCTTCTTGTTTTTCTTCACCACAGTTCTCCTCTCCTTGCTGCCACCATCTTTCTAAATTTGTCTACTCAATTTTCCCATTTAAATGTACTCTTCTTTTTATCCCACTTTCTCCAATCCATCTTTCTACCTTTCAGTTTCTATCTGTCATTCAGGCTTGAGCTCTTTGTCATCTTTGCAGCCACCTCCCCCTTTTTGGTAGGTGAATATCTGTGCTGCTTTCAGCTGTGGTAGTTGAATTTCTTCCCAGTGGCTGGTATGGGGTTGTGTTTTGAATTTGTGTTTTGCTGAACACAGAGCTGATAATACGGAGATGTTTTTGTTATCACTGAGCAGGACTTACACAGAGCCAAGGCCTTTTTTGCTTTTTGTGCTGCCACGCTGGTGAGGGGGCTGGGATGCATGGGAGGGTGGGAGGAGACACAGCCAGGACAGGTGACCCCAACTGACCAAAGGGATATTCCAGACCATGCGGCATCATGTTCAGTATAGAAAGTGAGGGAAGAAGGAGGAAGGGTGGATGTTTGGAGTGATGGTGTTTGTCTTCCCAAGTCACTGTTACATGTGATGGGGCCCTGCTCTCCCAGGAGTTGGCTGACCAGCTGCCTGCCCATGGGAAGCAGTGAAGTAATTCCTTGGTTTGTTTTTCCTATTTAACTGTCGTTATCTCAACCCATGAGTTTTCTAGCTTTTACCCTTCCTATTCTCTCCTTGATCCTGATGGTCAGGAGATTGAGCAAGTGGCTGCTGGCTGGAGTTAAACCACAACAATATCCAAAAATATCACTTATGCAGAGGTGCTCAAGGACAGCACACAGGTGAAGAATGTAAGTTCTCTTACCAAAAATCCTTGATTTTTTAAGTTACTGTGTATTTATTTGTTGGAGCAAGATATCCTTGACTCCTGCTTGGAAAGCTTATTCTGACAAATACAAATTGTGCCCCTGACCTTTTCAAGTCTGACATATCTGCTTTTTTTCTCTCAGCCAGTTACCTCTTTACTGAAAGCAAGCATCTCTGTTCATCTTCCTGTCATCTCTAGATCAGGCCTTTCTCAAGTGATTTATGAGCTTTGCTGACCACTTTCTGCAAACAGGGCTCCTTTCTTGTCACGCCTTCATGCAGGTACCTCGCACCAGCTGTGTTTCTGTAAGAGCTTGACCCAAGGAGCTGCTTCTCCTCCTCCTGCTCTTCAAAAGTGTCTCAGACAGTTGTGGCATGTTACTGGCCTGAATTTTGACAGCTCCACTGGTGCCTGCAGAGCTCCTAGCTGTGTGGGCACTTAACTGCCTTAAAGTCACATTTATTTTGCTCTTCCTCTTTTGCTGGCACTTGGCACATTTGCCACACTGGGTGCCTAAAGGATCCTGTCACAGGCTGTCCACTGGGAGGAGGTTTTTCAGACTGCCTTCATTTATTCCTCACAGGAAAGCAGCCGAGCAGATTATGCTCCTATCCTGTACTAAAGTATGCAGGATTTGGGTTCTTCATCTGTAGTGTGACTTGATGGGAGCTATGGTACGTGTAGAAAAACTGGGATGCTTTTTTAATATCAACTTGTGATTTTGAGCTCCCTAAAGAGACAAAGTTTTTACAAGTATTTTCTCTTTCCTTATGCTACAAAACAACTTATACTTTTATATTTTATTTCAGCATGAAGTAGCGAAGCCTAATTTTGCAACTCTGAAGCCTAAATTTACAACAAAAGCATGTCTATAACTAACTTAAAACACATCCATTCTTAGAAAACATTACAGATACTAAATCCATCTGGTGTTGAATTACCATTGATTTTTATAACTACTCTTCTGGCTTTGTGGAAAGTAGTTCTGGAAGCATTAGGATCCTACACAGTGCTTATTTTTTGGCTTTGTGTGCTTTTCACTATAATTAATTGTGGAATTTTCAGTGTGTATCAATACCTGATTGGAGGGAGTAAAGAACATGGAGCCTCCTCAGTGGTTCCCCGTGACAGGAAAGGAAGAAACAGGCACAAACATATGCCTGAAATACAGGTAATTCCATTTAAATGCAAGCAAATGCTTTTATACTCTTAGGAAGGTCAAATGCTGTGCTTGACATGACAAATGTCACAAATTACAAATGACACAAGTTAGCCAAGAGGTGGTGAAGTCTTCACCCTTGGAGATTTTCAGAACCCAACTGAGATATGGTCCTGGAAAACCTGTTCTGAGTGGTCCTGTTGTCAACAGGACTTGCACTAGAAAAGCTCTAGAGGTGCCTTCCAGCCTCATCTGTTCTGTGATTCTGTTACCAGAAGTCTCCAAACAGCAGACCCAAGTAGGCCTTGCAACTCTAGAAAAGTTGTTTTTTTATATGTTAATTCTGCAATCCAAATAGTATAACATTTTATAGCTGGGTATACCCTAGGTATGAGTGTACACATATATAGGTATGTATATACCTACCTATTTCTGTCTCCAGTATAAACATGCTTGAAAACTAGGACAAACTGGAGAATATCAAAGATGGAAAAGGGAGGAGTAGAATGTTTATATATGTATACATTTTAAATAATCTAGTGTCATTTCATACAGGCCACAGAGTCACACAGTTTTATGCAGTCATTGAAGTTTTTTTTTTCCCTTCCCCATATATATGCTACATCTGTATAGAAAAAAAAAAAAAGCTGGATAAAATTGCTTTAAATAAAGCTTTATTTTTATTAGATGATTTCTCTTGGGCACTACTTATACATAATTGCATCTTTCTTCCAGGGCACATTGAGTGTAAGTGGGCACAAATCATCCAGGAGGAGATCTGGAGGAGAGAAAGCAGAGAGCAAAGGCTCTGGATCAGAAGAGGGAGGTTCACCCTCAGCTGGACTCCTCTTTCTCAAAAAAGTAGCTCCAAATTAAGCAGCAAACACACAAGAATTGGCCTGAGTTTGTGTCTATATAGAGTACTCAATACTTTGGATTTTTTGAAATACTTTTTGGAGTCCTACGTGTGCATAATTACAGCTTTGCTGGTATTCAGACCTATTTCTGCAGCCCACAGCTGTGTCTGGGTGTCTTATGGTGTTCTTGAAAACTAAAAAGCTGGACAAGGCTGCTAAAATTACATGTAGTCTCTTGGCATATAGGTGATCCTGGGGGGTAGTGTTGCTGGAAGCTGTCTGTGAGTATCCTTTGTAGCATGAATTGGATGTTTAGTGGGGAAAAGGAGACACTTGTGCAGTTCTTCATCACGTCCCTTCAAAGCTGTGCATCTTGCCTTATAGTATTAACACATTTTCTTTCTCCTTTTCAACCCATGTTAAAGTCAATCTTCCCTTTCTTTAAATTATGACCATTATGTTGTTTGGGGTTGAAGAGATTTTTTTTGTTATATCTTGGCTGAAATAAGTGACAAAGCATTCAGACTTGAGGTTATATATATGAAGTTGAAAAAAACATTATCTTTCTTCCCATAAGCATTTGGATTTTTGTTTAAATAAATGGTAATGCCAAGTTCTCTCTTCTGACTCTTTGTGATCAAATATGGTGTGGGGTTTAGTTTTTCCTGCTTCTTCATAGTCTTGAAATAACTTCTTAGGAATGTACTTGCAAAAATAACAACAGTAATAATAAAATCTGTTTTGAAGATAAAACCAAACTCTGGTTCTGAGAGCTTGCTTAACTCCATGGTTAACACACCAGCTTCAATCACAGCTTCTGGAAAGTTTGGAGCTCTTTTTTGCTGTTGAATTTTCAAAAATTAATCTGATAAACTCCTTTAATTGTTATGAACTGTACCATTCATTTTAGTTTAGCAGTTATGCCTTTTACACTTGAATAGATTACTTTCTTAGGTCAATGCAGTTGTCTTTTGAAAATCATTTAGAAGTATCCAGTGGTAGTGAAGTTGTCTTGTCAGGTATTACAAACATGCAGGAAGAATGAATGGGTTTGCACTGACAGCTCCAGTCTGCCTTCCCTGCTTTTATGTACGTCCTTTTAATCATCCGTTCCTGTCTCTGTCCCCCAGCCCCTTTTCTTCCCAAATCTGTAATGCTCGTGTTTGCTGTGATTTTCAGTTTCAAGGACTGTTAGGCCATCTGAATCAAGAAAAAATCCTGTTCATATTTTAACGTGTGAAACTCGCTTTTCATTTCCTTTTCATGATATATCTGGAAATGTTCACATGTATGATGTGTCATTCTTCCGTAGAAGTGGGACCTGTTATTGAAGCAGTCCTGCAAGTCAGAGGTTGGCTCAGCGCTGCCAGCAGTGTGACCATTGCCTTCTTGCATGGTTCTGCCCTTCCCGACCCCACAGGGAAGAGATAATGGAATTGCCAGAAGTTTCTGTTCAGCTACTTGGAGCATTTATATGGTGTTCCCTGAGGAAGAGTTTGCTTGGAGTTTACTGGGTTTTCTTTAGGAGCTTGGTATCAAACCTTCAAAATGGGGCCAGCAATAGTGCCTTCAGCATGTACCAGGGTGTGAATTTCTTGCTCTTCCTCACAGCTGGAAAGGAGTTTTTGTTAAGTGTGAAGGTGTTGGATGAGCTCTGTTTTTAGGATGTTTCTTCCCAAAGCCTGCCAGTTTGAGAATTCTGTCACACCAAGCCAGAGGTGGTGAAACAACAGACTTGCAGCAGGGGCTTTTATGTAGCAGAGGTGTGACTTCTTGGCATTGTTGCAATGTTTGGTTTCTTTCAGCTGGAGGTATCAATCAAAACATGACTCTGTACCTTGCACTACTGCATCAGTGCCCTTGCTCTGCTATGGAAAAATCTGGAAGCTCTGAGTGTTTTTGTAAAGAGGAGAGAAACCCAGCTATGGTGATGCCTTTGGGGACTCCATTTGAGTTTTGTCTTCAAAATGAAATTGTTAATTGCTTATTATTACTTATTTAGAAAATAAGTAGCTAAGACTAAGAAGCAGGTAAATGAGATTAATTTTTACTAGTTTAATTCAATTTTTACTGGTTTATTTCAAATTTTTACACTTGTGGGAGAAGTCAGGTGGCCCAGTTACTAATGCAGAACTGATTCAACCTCAAAAAAAGTAATTGCATTTTTCCTTCTCAAAGAGAAAAACCATACTAAGTGTAATTTTGTTTCAGTCCCTATTGTATCTACCATGATTTTAGCTTGGTTTTGAATCCAGGGGGATTTCATTATTTCACATAAGCTGTCACCTGAGGTGATTCGTACTTCTTTAAATGTACTCTCCCTTGAAACTGAAATCCCTAAATAGTCGACCTAAGTTTTGAATGCTTGTATTGCCTTTGATATAGTTAGATTAAAACCTTTATTTCTGTACAGATGTGGGGTTTGTCTGTATAATTTTTAAGTACATGAAAACAGGGTTAGCATTTATCTCCCTTCTAAGTTGTCCTCTGCTCAGCTGGAATCTTTAATTTGCTTTCAGAGCCTTTTAAACCCCTGAAGTGTCCCAATATTTCTTGTCAATGAAGGTCACTTACCTTGTGCAGGAAATGCAATTTCTGTCAAGTTAGTCTACTGAGAGCCTTGCGCCTTAAGGAGCCTTTGTGATGATCTTTCCAGACAAAGCTGCACTTAAACCACTTTTGTAATTTCTCCATAAGGTAAAAATACTGCAATCCTCTTGAATCAGAAATATCTTTTTCTTCCTGTCTTAAACGCATTAATATTTTATAATAATAATAATAATTATTATAATAATAAAAATGGAGATGTAAACAAAAGCAGTCATCACCACATACCATAGCAGTGGAATAAAAACTGACCAGTCCTTCCTACCCCTATTTTATTTCTTCCAAGGCCTTCATGAGCAGGGGAAGCCCATGTCTTGAAGATTTTCCCAGTGTAGCATGTCTGAGATGCAGGCTTCTCTATCTACCCATGCTATGAAGTCTGCCATCCATGTGCCTTATCCTACTACTGAAGTACTCTGTTGTCACTTTCCTAGCCTGAATGAAAGCAGCCTTGTCCCACTTACATCAATTCTGAATATTGCTTGAAAAAGCATTTCCCAGAGCCTGTGGCTTTGATCATATCATCTGACTTTACATCTTTTCTTGGTTCCTTCTTCTCTTGTGTACCGAGTATTGAAACTCTTGGTAAGATATCCTAGCATCCGTCATCTTCCATTTATTACTAAAATTTTTGATTTCTTGTCTCTATAATGCCATCCTCAGTCACCTCGTCATTACTTTCAAACAGTAATCTTTGTGCTTTGTTTTACGTCCTTTCCACCTGGGGAGAGCTAATACTGATTAAATAAATTCAGTGTGCTCCACTTTTCTTTTAATTTATCTAGTATCAACAGGCAATCTTGCAAAGTGGGTATTAGTAACATTTCAATTAAGACCTAGAAAAAGATCTTTTTAGAAGGGTCTGTTTGTGTTTGCATTGCATCTGCAGAATCATATCTGCTGGGAAGAGTTTTCTGTACATATGATAGGCAAAGGCTTGTAATGCAACAGAAACTTGCTGTGGTGTCACTGATTGCAGAGAATAAATTTAGTCTAGTGGCATTTCTAGGTGAATGGATTTGTCTGCAAAGAGAAATACCATCAGTTACAAAAGCAAAATGTCCTGGGAAGGAAGATAAAGTTAACACAAGATAAAGGAAATCTTAAAGAATAATGAAACAAAATACAAATTGCTATGGAACTATTTGGTATTGAAGGTATTAAAGAAACTCAGTATGTGTTTTCTGGAGCTTCCCAAAATGATTTGTGCATGTCTGATGGTTGTGGGAGCAAAGGGAGACATGTCATTTTGGAAGACTTGAGGGTTGCATTGTGGCCTGGCAGAGGGGATGCAACCTACCTTCAGGAGCCAGGAATTGCAATAATTATTGCACTTTTCTTCCACTAACTGAGTGCTTTTCTTTATGTATAAAACAGAAGCAACATGGTCAAACCCATGTCATGGTTCCAAGCATTAATTAACTCTCTTTAATACTGTTCTGGAAAACCAGTGGGGGTTTTATTGTTGTCCTTTCAGGTTTCGTGGTGGGGTTTTTTAAAAGATGCCTCAAAGTCTTAATGTCAGTTTTATTTACCAGATTATTCAAAACTATGCTGCATGCACTGGCTCTCAATGGAGGCAATTGGCAATGCTACTATGAGGTCACTCTGTTAACAAAAAGAGAACAACCAAAGGGAAAAAGAAAACCACTCACCACCAAAGAACCCACAACCAAACCTATTTATTGAGGCCTTTACCTCTCTTTCCATTGTTCACATAAAAACACCTGGAAGTGCAGAGCTATTAAAATCACTGAGGCACTGTTGAAAGAAATCAAAAAAACTTCTGAACATTTACTGCTATTAGATGTTTAGGAGAGATTTGCAAACATTGACTTTCTTAAGAATTAAGGAAATATTATTTGGTTTTGTTATACTGAGAATTACAAGCATAAAGAATGTAACAATGTATGAATGTTACCCTTGGAGGTGCCAAGTGACTTGTTTGTAAAATACCATCACAGAGGTCCACTTGGTAACACCACACTTTCATAAGTGAAAGTCACTGGTGATAAATTAAGGCAGATAAGTTTTCCGAAAGTACTGGGTACTAGTTTAAAGGAGGGAACGAACAGAGTAAAATTAAAGAATTTCCTGGTTTAAGGATTGAAGTAAGTACAGGAAACAAGATGCACATTGAAATTCAAATGGACTCTGAGCCTTTCTCTGTCTTAGAAATATGGTGGCCTATTTCTTCTGGGTTTACCAGAGGGGCAACATTTTGTTTTACCTTTACTGTAAAGGTAACATGTGAGAGAAGTTCACAGTTGCCACCAAGGATCACAGAAAATGACCAAAACCACTGGCGCTGGGCAATTCCCAGCTCTGGCCAGGACTGCAGTGGGGGAAGCTGGAACAAACAGGAGTCCCTGAATGGCCCTTGCAGCCCCTCACCCTGGTACAGCTCACCTCCAGGGTGGAATCCCCTTGTCTGGGCTAAGCCAATCCTGTTGCCACAGTGCCAGTGCTGTCAGTGACGAGAAATGGGCAGGTGTGGGTATGGCTTCTCCAACTGGCTTGGGTGGTGGTGATCCTTCTCCCTGCCAGCTGTGGAGGGGACAGGATACATGGCTTTTATGTGGCTGCAGTTTGTTGGCTGCATTGCTGTGCTTGGAAAGCTGTTTCTGAACTTAACTCCTGTACTGGTTACAAATGGTTTCATTTCCAGCATAAAATTTTACTTGTAGTTAGCAGCGTTTCCTATACTGATAATGTCAAACTTGTTGCACTGCAGTGTGGTGTGGGGTTTTTTTCCCTCCATATGTACTCTTCTGTGGAGTGAAGCATTTTTTAAAAATGAAATGTTTTTTCCAGCATAGTTTGTATAGGTTGTATGCATCTGTATAGGCAGTTTACAGAGGAGTGGAATCTTTGTTCCTCATCAAAATCTGTGTATCCTCACATACATATGTATCTTTATGCATATAAAGTTTTTAAATCTGAAAGCATTTGGCACGACAATGGTGTGTTATCACAAAGGCCAAATGTTTTGTGCAATTTGGCCAGTGCTTCCCACTGAAACTGATAAGAAGCGTGGGAATTACCTGTCATGGTCAATGCCTATACATTCCGTGGGTTGGGAAGAAACCTGGTCTCTACCACAGGAGGGCAAGTTCAGGAACAGGTTTTCAATCTCAATTGCTTTTTAAGGCAGTCGTGGTTCATATATGTGTGATAATTGAGGAAAAGGCGTAGCCGGCATCTTCACAGTTTCAGATCATCCCATAACCAGCACATGGGCATTTTGCTGTGCCTTTCTGTGGTTCTGGGGGTTTTGGAATGTGTTACAAAGCAGCAGCTGGAAGTGGGTTTGAAAGATTAGCAGGGACATGCTGCTGTTGGGGCTGGGGCCATCTGGGGTTGAGCTGGTGTGTTCCTCATGTGTTCCTCATCTGCATGATGAGAGGTGGGTGTGCCAGTCCATTGACTGAAATCTCATAAGGCTTGGGACTAGTTGCTAAGCAACTGCAAAACACTTCAAAACGGGATTTTTTTCCTTACTCACAGACTGTTTTTTCAGCAGGTAGAGGAGAGGGGGAGTGAGGAGCACTGTGGGGTTGCAACGCAGAGGCCCCTCTCCTTCTCTCCACGTGACAGCCAAGGTGAAGGAGAAGGACCTGGTCTTGTAGTGTGCTCCCTTTGCAAATTCACAGCTCTTCCACTCTGTTACAGCAGTTTTATTTTTTTGCCATGTACATAAATATTGCTCTCTACAAGAGAAGACAGTCTATTTTAAACATTCCTGTGACAAGCAGAGAAATTTTCCAGTAAAACTTTGGTGTTTTAAGGAAGACAGTTGTTCAGTGAAGGGACATAACATGAGCGGTCTGATGATGAAGATCCAGAAGTGCTCTCCACCGTTAAAGGACAGGAACGCTCTCAGTGCAGTCATCATTGAAAATAACTTTAAGTTTTACACAACCCCATCAGTTCACACACTATAAAAACAACCAGGTGTGTGAATTGTTTTGCAGTTAGCATCCTATCTATTAAGTCATAAGTTCTACAGTTGGTGTTTCAAATTATTTCCTATAAATGATGTCTTATGTGTAAGGATTATATTCAAGTGATTGCAGCCTGAAATTGGCTGGTGTCTCATGCATTTTTATCACCAAAGTACAATGTTCTTGTTGGCAGTAGCTTAGTTTTGGTATTTGATTTATTTTCAAGCACCTTACTTTTACAAGTCATGTATTGTTTTTTGGCAGAAAGGCAGCTGCTTGGCATTCAGAACCACTAGTTTGCAGTAACAGTTGTTGGTTCTGGTCCTTATTGGTTTTTCTTTCCAATTAAGATGCAGCTGTTGTGACTTCTGGAGTGAGGGAGGATTATTTTATCTAATGATGTAAATGGAAAAATCCTAAATTAAGGATCTGTCCTTCAAAACAGTTGGGAAAAGACCAGGTTTTAAGGCCTCAATGTTTAGTGAGAAGTACCCTGGGCTGTGATTTTTGTGACAAACTTCGTAAAAAGATCTGGTGTTTCTTTTCTCATGTAAATGGAAGGGAATTAATGATTCGGAGAAGATTATCCTAAAGGATTTTTCACACTGCATCTTTTACAACATAATAGGGGAATGTACAATTGCTAATGCCTTTGAACTTGGTTTTTTTTGTGACATTTGGAGCACTTGCTTTTGTACTTTTTAGGGAATAAGATAAGATTATGGTATTTTTGACTTTTTTCTCAGGTATGTGTTCAGTGCTGCATGTGAAAAATCCCTGAGCCTTTTTTTGTTATAGCTATAGCCTAAAAGCTGTAATCAGCAGAAGAGGAAGCCACACACACAAATCATTGCAGTGTATTGCAGACTGGACAATTCTGTTAAACAAGCCATTTAAAGATAGGAAGTCAAGCAGACTGAAGATGAACAATGATCTGATCTTTATGTGTATTTTCACTTTGGTGGCTCATTCATGCATATTTGTTTTTTGGAATGATTGTAGTGCACCCAAAGTCCACCCATACAGCAGAAAGTCACTCATACCTAAGTGCATCCACACTGGAAATCACACGAGTTAAACTGTTGCACTGTATATACATACAGAGAGAGATTGTGTGTACGTACATATGTATATATGCCACTACACACATACATACAGTATATTTTGATATAAAGGTTGTTCACCTTTATATCTTGCACATCTTGCAGATGTGATTTTTTTGGAAAGCTGGAGGTGGAGTCGGATGGGAATCCCATAGTACTTTCTCCTTCACTGTTGTTTCATGGGGCAAAGGAAGACAAGGAGCAATTGTGGAGTCTTATAAGTCTTGGAAGGATTTGCATAGTGTCTTTGGACACTGTTTCTTCCTTTTCCTCCAGCTTTCTGAAAGGAATATAAATTATATCAAGTTGTTTCAGTAGATTAATCAAATATGCTTAGGCATTACCTCTCAACTGTAAAGAGAATAAGAACTAGTCAGCCAGACCAAAAGTAGGAAAGTTGGATATTTGATATATTCTCACACTGATAAGGGGAGTAAATATTCTTATTAATTTGCATAACAAAAGTGTATCAAACTTGATGAGTTATTGAACTGAGAGATCGACTTATAATGTCAGTGCTATTGGCAAGTGATATTGTAAACCAATACATCAAGCTCTTGTTGACACAACCATAAATCAATGACTTTTATTTTTCCTCTTTAATTTCAATACCAGAGTCAGAAATAAGTTTATATAATCTCAATATTTTTTTATAAACAGCAAGACTACAGGAATGCCCCAAGTAGGTTGTTGCAGTAGTCTTATGATACAAAAAATATACAATTAAATACTGTCTCTTAATAGAAAATACCAAAAACAAGTCTTCAGGATTTTAATTCAAATACTTGATGCTGTTTGAATAAAGACCATTGCATGAAAACTTGCTGGATGGATGTGGCTCCTTGTCCACATGGGATACTGTAGTGATCCTTGTTGGTGAGGGTTGTCTGTATAGAGAGCATTTATGGTGATGGTTTTCTTTTGGAGATACAAAGAAACTCATGTGTTTAACAAATTTGTGTGAATGTAGGACAGATACTTTGGTATGTGTGGATGTGATGACCGTGAAGATGATGTCTTTTGAACACTAAACTTTACATGAGAATGTTTTTAACTTGAGTGGTCTCAGTTTGAAGACTGTCTGATCAAGGATGGCAGGTTGACTTTTAGGGCATCCAGCGCCATTTAACATGCCCCAGGGTATCAGAGAGAGCATGATGGGCAGGATCCTGGTGTGTAAGAAGCTCTGAGGGTGAGATGTTGCAGTGTTTTAAACAGTGTTGTGACAAGGAATGAATGTCTTCTGTTTGTGAGCAGTCTGCAAAAGTAAAACCAGAGGTGGGGTGTTAAAACTTTATATGCCTGGGAACTGAAACTACAGCCACTACAAGTCCTAAGAGTTGATTGTTTTGCTGGTGGTGGTGATTCTATCTCTGTTATTTATTCCTGCATGATAAACAAAACAAATTCTTCACAGTATTTTAAAAAGGTGTAGGAATAGTAAAAATAATCATAAATAGTTAAAAGAACCAAATACAAAGGAGAAAGTCCAATAAAACCTCAACCCCCAAAGAAGCAAGAGTTTTTATAACTTGCTTGGTCACTAACTGGATTATAGTGGCTGCATAAAAAGTGGTCCATTTTAGTAGTACATTATGTTACTATGGTAACATTGACATACTAATTTAGAAACCCTTAAGGCTAGCTCTGAGAGCATGAACATTGCACTAGTATACCAAAACAGGAAAAGACTTATTGTGAAAGTAACTGCTAAATGTTTAGGATAAGCCCTTTAGATACAGGTGGAGTTATTTTTCTCCCCCAAAATTTCTATTAGGATCCACACTTGTTTATCCTGTTAAAAATATCTGAACCAGATTAATCTTAATGGTTTTACAGTGTTTCTCATTAAATCCTTTTGTTTTCTTCTTGGAATTGGACCTCGGGGTCCCGTTGTGAAGCCCATGTTAGGTGCAGCTCCTTTGTCCCCCAGCTGCAGGGGGCTGATCATAAGGTACTTGCTTCATTCTCCTGGCACATGGACTGTAAATTGCACTTTGAGTCCTGGGTGTTAACGGGTCCTGCATCATCTTACTTGTGTGTGGTCACAGATTTTTTCCAGTGGCAGTGAATTGTGTCACCTGAACCAGTGAGTTTACTACCATTTAACTGCATATTTGAAAAAGAATAGTTCTGTTGAAGTGCTGTGTAACTTGTACTATGATATACAATTTATAAACAACCAAAAAAAGTTGCCAGAAGTAGGGAGCGTGCCTGTTACACTTCCTTTTGTAGCTAACTTACTATGTGGTAGAGAAATTTGTAGGCTCAGTTCCTTGAACCTGTTCTCATAACACCCTCAAAGGCTGCCATGAGCCCTTGTTTCTGGCTGAGGTTGGCAAAACCTGGAGTTACATGGGATTATCAAGACCTGAACATGCCTGGGGTGCTGCTAAACTATGGTCTTTTTCATTACAGGGGATTTTTGGCAGCAATTCTTCACTCACAGTAGAAAGTACCATGTTTTTTCTGTTTCATATCAATGCACACAACTGGATTTCTCACTTCTTTACCTAACTCAGTTAAGTTAAGCAAAATGAATTTTAGCATGGGAAATAAGCATTATTTATTAGATCTCATCAAACTGATTCTGCAGGCTAACTAAAGAAGACTTTTGCCTGCAAATAAGTGACAAAAAAATTGAAATATCAAGAAATAGAGTTAAAACAGAATTGGCTAAACAGTAATATCCTTTACCAAGTCTGCTTTGTGGCAACTTGCTGTACTTCTTGTTTCATGATAATTTCTTGAATCCCTTTTTGGGTGTGGACGCAGGTGTTAATCTTAAATGATACTAAATTGCCAGATCTGGAAATCAACAGGCCAGATTAGGTTGTAACACCACCTTGGGCATAATGAGGGTGTTCTAGATTCTGAGCTTTTATTAAAAAAAAAAAAAACAAGCAAAAGGCATTTTGAGTCCTTCTGGTCACAAGGATTACTGTTAAATCTGTGAGCGGAATGCAGTTGACAGATTCTCAGGTATCTCTGTGCTATGGAGATGGTTCATGTGCCGCACCAGCACAGGAGGGTGTTGGCTCTGAAGCAGAGCAGCTTCAGCCTGTGTCTGCGGGCTGCTGTATCTTCTCATCTGAGCATGCAGTGAGTGCTCCTCTGCTGCAGGGCTCCTCTGCACCTCAAGGAGAGAAACACCCCACACCAAAACAAGGTGGTGCTGCATTCGTGCCAGGATTTCATACTTTCCCAACATGAATAATGCTGTGTAGGTATGAATTTATAAGGAGTAACCAGTGCTGTGAGCAGGGCATGTCATATGTGTTTAACAAAGTAGTTAAAGTTAAGATTTTTAAAGGAAAACTAAGCTAATGGAAATCATGCATGTTTCTCACAGTTACAAATGTACTCGCAATTGAGTTTGGCTACAAATTATGCTTTTCTTCCCTGTCTTCCCTACCTCCTTTTGAGGAGATGACAATATTTTTATCCTGGATCACTTTTTTATCTTGATTTTGCTGCCCCTCTACAAGCAGTTGCACCAGTGTAACCCAAGGTTTTTTCAGAGGAGACAGAAAGGTCTTGCTGCCACACAAGAGGCAGGCAAAGCCATGTTCCCAGTGAAGTGCAGATCCCAGCAGCCTTATTTAATTTCAGAGAGTGCCTCCAGCCATCCTCATCACTGAGCCTGTTCTCTTGGTAGCCTTTTCCTGCCCAGACTCAGTCTTCAGCATCCTGGAGATGTACTGCTGGGCCAAAATGGTCTCATTTTAGGTCAGAGAGGTAACTTACCGGTGCTGGAATGGTACCTACAGAAACTGGTCTCAGCCTGGGATGGGCTCCTGACCAGATCTCAGGGTGATGTTGGGGCACTCATCCATGGGACCCTTCCAAGGACACTGGTGCTGGATGTAGCATGGAGAGGAGCACTGGTGGAGATGGAGTGGGTGGGAACCCAGCCTCTTCTCATCAGTATGGGTGAAAGGTAGGTCATATCTGAAGGCTGAGTTTGCATGCTGGGTGGAGAGTGCAAACTGGAGCTGCTGAGACCACAGCTGTGTGTTCCAGCCTGGCTCTGCTCCCCCTTCCCCTGCAGCCTCCTGGCCCAGCCTGAGGCCATGTCTTGGGGGAGCGCGTGGCGGCTCGTGCTGCTGAGTTATCCCAGCTGTGCTTCAGCTGCTCCCTTTCCCCCGCAAGAGTAAATAAATATTTAGAGTTTGGATTACATTATCAAGCAAGAACAATTTCCTTTTTTTCATGTGCTTTTTTTCATGTGCTTTGCTCCTTAGAGCTCACTAGCAGCAGCAATGACATTGGGGAATTATCTAGAGACAAAAAAAATTGTAAGTCTGTCTGGATTTACTTACTAAAAATACATTTTGACAACAGTCATTTAGTTTAAGAATTTGTGTCCTGTCTGAGCACCCTGTTTAGCTTGTCCAGTTCTGTATCCCTTTGCTACTGAATGTTTTTTCTGGACATCTGAGAGGCTTTTCTCATCTCCAGTTGCTAGAGAATCAGTATCCTATAGTTTTTCAAGCTTGAAATACATTAGGGTGATTTTTTTAATAACCATAATCTAACTGATTGCAGAGGGCTTTGTGGGGGGTGCTGTGGTGGTTTCCTTCTTTTTTTCTTTTATTATGTTGAGTCATTTGGTTTGGTTCGGGGATTTTTGTTTGGGCTGTGGTTTTGGGTTTTGGAGGGTTAGTTATTTTATTTGTTTGTCTTATTTTGTTTTCTCTGAGTGTACTATTTGCCTGCTTGCCAGATGAGGAAAAAATGCAGGGAGGCAAAACTGAATCCTTCCAACAGCAGCAGCCACCCGCTGCCATGCTGCGGTACAGAATGAGAAAGCAGAGGCTGTTTAGTTTCTTTCCATGCCCTAAATCCAAACACCCACTTCCAGCATCCTGATGCAGGGTGTTTGTGGGCCAGTTTGTGGACTGCCAGTACAAGTCAGCCCTGTCCTTTCCTCATTCCTTCACCAGGAAGGAAGATGTGGGTGCATCACCACCCAGCTCTTGGGGCTGTCCCTTCCCACAAAGGTGGGGTGCTCTTACCCACAGTGCCTGTGCCAGTGTCCTGTTTGACACTTAAGTTTTGTGCTACTGCAGTACAGTCTGGTTGGATTTATAGGAGAGTGTTTTAGACTTCCAAGAACATTCTATGGATTTTTGTTTTGTTGTATGCTCTTTTTCAAAAGCTGCATGCTTTGTCCTCATGCCAGGATTATTTTTGTTTGGTTTATCCTACCTTCCCTAAATACCTTAGAAGTTGTTACTTCTTTGTGCACGCAACAATGCTTCCCATCAGGAAAGAGATGGCTTGCAGGGCTAGCCATTCAATTTTTGTTCCTATTTCCAAGCTTTTATTTGCCTATACATTAATATTTGCCATGCCTGATGAGGCTGGGCTTTGCTCTTGGTGTCAGTGACACAAGTTGCACGTTTTCTCACAGTCTAGCAAAGGGATAGACAACAGAACTGTTGTCACAACTGGAATTAACACCATATGGTCCCTACATCACCTCTTTTCTATATTTGTCTGCTGCAGAAAAATTATTGAAAACAGTCGTCCATTTCCAAACTCAAGTCTTCAAACTGTTTCTTTTTCTTCCTTAGCTTCCTGCATTTTGTTTGCAGAGGCATCGTTGTTCTTAGACTAGCAAATAAAAAAACTCCTCAGGTGCTAAAAATAACCTAGCTGTAACTCTATATAAATAATTATTTTCTGCAATTTCTTATTTTTAAGCAGCAATGTTTTTTAGTATTCCCAGTAGGTGGGCATCTCTGTCATGTCTGGCTTTGTCTAATACAGAAATATAATCTCTGATCCATGGGTCTGTTACTGATGTCTTCTCCTCAGTTTGCAGCTTCCCATTGTTTTATTAAAGAAGTCAGTCTAAGCTTATATAACTTTAATTCTGGGTAGTCAGGGTTTTTTCCTTCAAAATAGTTTCTATTCCATTTCTGGCAGTATTTTAGGAATTCCAGTCAAATTACTTCAGCAAAATAATCTGATGTGTAGCATGATAAAACAGGATTTATCTGTGCATTTCTTCAGAAACTTTGTCTGCTATGTCTCTCCAAAAGGCTTCATTTTTGTCCTTTTTAAACTAAACTGATCATAAGAAGAGGATTCAGATGCTGTATGAATGACATTCAAATTATGAAGAGCTGAAAATACATGTCTGGACAAATATTTGAAGTTCAAAAGAACCTAAAGAGGACAGAAACATAAAACAAAATGCAAATCTGCAATTAACTTTACAGAAGTGTATCCCAAATGAAACTTGCATGTTGTGGAGAGACTTCAAAGAGGGTAATGCCATAAAATACTTGGGAATAATACCAGGAGGGGCCTGAAATACAGTGAGAGGGAGCCTCACAATGGTTGGTCATATAAAGATGCCCAACTGAAGTGGGGAGTAGTGGCTCTGAAGGTTTGATTCTCATCCCACTGAAACTGGATCCCTGGTGATGTTGGTTGGCATTGCATCAAACTCCTTTTCTCCTGTGTGGACACCTCATCTAGGCAGTCAATTGTAGATGCTTTATACCTTGAGGGATATTGTCAACAATATTTGAAGTATTTCAGGAAAGAAAAGCACAAATGTGAGAAATAAAATTGAAGTACAAAAGAAACTTTCAATATAGGTGATGTAGCAAAAATCAGGAATGAACAGAGAAAAATGTAAAAGTACTCATTTTGTAGGTGTGTATATCCAGAGAATGGTCTGCTACAGAAACTGGGAAAAGGCTCTAGCAGATGTGGTTTCTAGTTCTAGATCTTACAAGCCATAAGCTAAGAGATGGTAGAGAATAATCTTCAATAGGTAGGACTGGAGAAAAAAACAGTCCCTTTTCCTAAGGTCTATAATTCCTAATTACTTATTAGTCTTTTAGATGTGCCTGTCTCCGATTCTCCTGCAGATCTCCCACCAGTGGAAAAAAAAAGAAAATCATACCCTGTGAATGAACTTTGCTGTTTCTCTATAAACCTATTAACTAAATTAGGCAATATGAACTTTACTTATGACAGATCTGCTTTCTATTGTCATAATGCAGAGATGATAGTGACTTTTCTTCCCTTTATGATTTCATTCTCAACTCTTTCATGTAATGTATCTCCATCTACATAAAGTGTGGGGGTTTCTTTCCCCCAAGTTGGATCTATTCTGGCACATCTTCTTGTTCTATGCTTTAAAACTGAGAATCAAATAACCTTTTCAGTTGGAAAGGGGATACAGTGTCACCAAGTTCAACCCTTAACCCAGTATTGCCAATGCCACCATTAAATCAAGTCCCTAAGCACCACATCTCCACATATTTTACATAACTCCACTCAACCCTTTCCGTGGGTAGCCTGTTCCAGTGTTTTCCATGAAAATTTTTTTCCTAGTGTCCAATCTCAACCTTCCATGGAACAACTTGAGGACATTTGCTCTTGTCCTATTGCTTGTTACTTGGGAGAAAAGGCTGACCCCACCTCACTATAAGATCCTTTTAGGTGGTTGTAGAGAGTGATAAGGTCTCCCCTGAGCCTCCTTTTCTCCAGGATGAACAGCCCCATCTGCTCCTCATAATGCTTGTGCTCCACACCCTTCACCAGCTCCTTTGCCCTTCTCTGGACACACTCCAACATCTCAGCGTCTTTCTTGTAGTGAAGGGCCCCAAACTAGACGCAGGATTCAAGATTCAGCCTCACTAGTGCCAAGTACAGGAGATCACTGTTCTAGTCTTGCTGGCCACACTATTTAATCCTGTGGGTAAAACATCAGTAACCCATGCATTTATCCAAAACTCATTAAAACAATGTTTCTCCTCCTACTATACTCTGTCCATTTTGGTTTTCCTCTTTGGGAGTCTTTTGCAGTGCTCAGTGACAAGCTTGGATGCTTTATTTGCTTAGTGACTATTCAGTAGGTGTTGCTTCTTTGGTTGATCCCTCTGTTAATCTTTGTCTAAGCCTATAGCCAGTGGACAAAGTTCCTTCCTGATTACCTTCCTTTGGACTGCCCATGCTGATTGTGCTTGAGGATATCCACGGGGTGGGAGTGTATTGCAGTTTTGAACCAGTAGAATATGAGTTAGGGGCAAGCTGAAATATCTCATATTGCTGTCCATTAAGCTTTTCCCCTTTGGATTCATGTGTAGTTAAACACCAGAGTTGTTCAGGAACCATTCTTCTGTATAAACAGTTGTGTTTTACCAAGTCTATATTTTTTTTTTTTTAAGAACTACAGGCGAATAAACACGAATGTTAAGCCAAACAACTAGAAAGCAGTTTGAGTAGGTGTTGTTACAAAGGTGCAGTTGCAGCTTTGCCCTACCTCCTGCTCGAACCCTCCAGCGAATAGTAGAGCCCCAAGGGAAGCTTTGGGCTCTCTCCCTTTCACCTTCACTACCACAGGACCTGGCTACATTTCCCACCTTCCTGCAGCAAGCAGCTACTTCCTCAAGGAGTTCATATTCTTCTTTTGAATGTGGTGGGGTTGGCTCATTTACAGCAAGGTGGGTACTCTGCTGGTTTGGCAGCCTCGGCGCCCGAGGTGCCGCATTTATCATCAGTGGGCTCTGGCCTTGGCACCAGCTCTCCCCCAGCATTTGTCAGCACTGAGTCGGGGTGCTGGCACGGCAGCCAGCAGCCTCCAGCAGAGATAATTCTTATCATGTGTGCTGCTGGCTCAGCTGCGCTTTGCCTCACATGGTGACAATTCCTGCCTGCCATCGGTCCCCCCTTTGGATCCCAGTCATGCAGGCGGCAAACACGACCAAAGGATGTGTGTCCATGCAGCTTTAGTGTTTGTGCCTTCAGTCTCCATCAGCAAACTTTGGGGAAGTGAATTCTTCTTCCCAGTCACTTTGCCCCTCTCCTAGCATATTTAGTATTCAATATCTCCTGTGCTGACCTTGTTCTTTAAATTGCATTGAGACTTGTCTTGTTCGAGACACAGGTCAACAGGAGAACAGTCAAGTGTGGAAAAACATGCCGGTGCTGTTCACTGGGGTCACAGCAGCACAAGTGACCTAAATTTCAAATGCACCATACTCAGTAGCTGATCCAGCATCCTCAGGCTGCAGCCTGTCTGTCTGCTGCAGTTGCAGACCAAGAAGTGATTATTTTGTTCAGGAGCAAATTTCTACCAATTTACTAAAATTTGGAATTTGGAAATCTGGTGCAAAATTGAAGGGAAAAGAGAAAGAAATGCAGAAAAACACAAGTTGTAATTGAGTGAAACACAACCTTTGGTCATACAGTGGGGTTTGTTTTGGCAGTTCAATTTCTCAATTTTCTAGAACAGGCATGAAATCGCTATATTTATGTATATAAGGATTAATAATATCTTACAAAAGCAACACATTAGCTTTTTTTTGCGTGGGAGGAGAAACCAAGAGCTGCCTGAAGGCGAAACATTTCTAATTCCCTTTTTTAATTTCTTTTTGGTTTAATTTTTTTGAGAGAGCTCCTTTTTCATTGTGTGCACTGCTGTTGCCCACACAGGTGCTGGAGGAGAGCATCTGTGCAGTCTGCATAAATTGATTCGGAGGGTGGCCAGCCGTGCTTGGTGCTTCCATCAGGTCACGGCTGCCACGGTTTGCCACAGTGTTTTATGCGTGCATGAGCACGGGCAAACACATCCAAGGTGTGGGAGCGCGGGTTTGAGGAGTGCTTGGCATCATCCCCCGCATATGCCGGCTGTGATGCCTGCTCACAAAAAAACATGGAACAGAAAAAGCCAGGGAGGTTTTCCTCTCTGAGGTGAAGCTTGTGGGAGCACGCCTTGCGTTGCTTTTGCTATTAAAAGCAGATACATTTTTGTTGGTTTGCTTCTAGGCCACTAGATTCCCCTGACTTCTTTCCTGACCTCCAGTGATGGCACGAGTATCACAGGAAGGGAATCCTGTCATTCCCTCTTGGACAAGGGACAAACCCTGGGTCAGTGGTGATGACCCAGGAGTACTTTCTGCAACTAATGTGAAAAATATGGGGGTTTTGGTAGGGGTTTTGAACACAACAGGTGATGGGGTTTGGGGTGGATCCCCTCCCAACCCTTTTTTTCTTTAATCATGAGAAGTTTCTTAGTCATTGTGCGGGTTGAACCATCCAGAGGAAAACAGCAGTGTTCCTGTAGGGGCTTGCAAGAATTTATACTGGGGTTTTTGCTGACACCTATTTTTATATCAGAGATGGCAGAAACATACTGACATATCTAGTCTGTTTGTGAATATATTTCATTTCCATATGCATCCAGCCTTGCAGTGTGTTTAAGTTGGGTTACTAGTTTTAGCTCATCTGTGCTTGGAGCTAATCCAGAAAATGTCTTGAAAGAGGTTTTGTGGGGGGGAGAAGGAGATTTGATTTGCATTATGAGAAAAATATGAAGAGTTTTCACAAGATATGATGGCTACATTTGATATCCTATAGTTTTTGTTAGTCTAGAAGTGATTTTTTTTCTCCTCTCTCTGAATCTGAGTGATCTGGGGGGATGGTGATCATCTATTCTTCTTTTTCTTCTTCAGTATTTTAATCTAGGAGCTAAATAAGTTCTTTAGTGAATAAGTTCATTCTCTGACAGTATTTCTGACATTTTCCACTTACTCTTATCTCCTCCATCCATAAGGTAGATTCTGGTAGAGGTAGATATACTCTTCATATAATATTTTGCATTATAAAGAATAACATTTTGCTTAAAATTTTCATCCTTCTGTGCAGGAGATGGAGAAGTATGCTGGGCAGGAAACCAGTGATTTTTCTGGCATTCCGAAGAAAATATATAAATAAATACTGTAAACACACACCTACATATATAGAAGCAATGTAAAAAAAGTATGTATTTCCAATTAGTGTGTGCAGAGAAGGGGAATGGAACTGATGAAGGGTCTGGAGCCACAATGTGATGAGGAATGGCTGAGGGAGCTGGGGTTATTCAGCCTGGAGAAAAGGAGGCTTAAGGGAAGACTTAATTGCTTTCTACAATTAACATGAATGGAGCTTGTGATGAGCTGTGGGTCAGTCTCTTCTTCCAGGTAACAAGACAAGAAGAAACAGCCCCAAGTTGCCCCCCTGAGGATTTAGATTGGATATTGGGAAAATTTGTTCACTGAAAGGGTGATCAAGCATTGGAACAGGCTGCCCATCCTGATGGTGGAATCACCATTCCTGGTAGTGTGGCACATGGAGATATGGCTTAGTGATAAATGTGGTGGTGCTGGCTTAAAGGTTGGCTCAATTATCTTAGAGGCCTTTTCTAACCTTAATGATTCTGTAATCCTAATTAGCTCTTCAGGTTTTAAGCTTTCTCCTGCAACACTGGTATTTATGGTAACAGTTGACATTTCAGTTATTTGTTTTCTACTGCTGATGAATGAAATAACTGAATTCCAGTGGGGGGAAAAAAGCAGTTTTGTAAGGATTAGTAAGGTAATGTAAAAAAAAAAAAATCATGATCTAGTATAGAAGTTTTCACTATCAGCATGGTATATATTTATCTTTTCAGTGCATGCATGACATCACATGAAAAAGGTGTAATGTTGATAGAATGTGGTACTTCACTGTGAAAATGCAGCACTTTCAGATTTATTTAGAATTTTGTGTGGTTTTTACTCCAAGTTATTTTTTTATGTATTTCAAGAGAAATGCATGTATGTATGCATGTAGGTCTTATGTATTTACTGACATAAATTTCTTCAGAAAGAGCAGTAGTTCACTTTGTGAACTGTGAAAATTAGGTAGATATTCATACTGGTTAAATTTTATGTTCTGCAACTGAGGAGAAAACAAAAAAGATTTACCCAAAGATTGTGCCCCAAAATCAGAATACTCTATGTTTGTTCTGAAGTTCTGGAGCAATAACAAGAAACTAAGAGAAACTAAGAAGAATGAATATGCTGTTCTTTATTTTAAATACTGCCCCAAATGGTGGTTTTGACAGATATTTCTTGTTGACTCTTGCATCCCATACATTTTACAAGATAAAGCTTAAAAACCTGATTTTTTGATGTACCTACTCCTTCCTGTTTTATTTTATTCTTTTGCTTTTATCCATATAATTTAATCTGGAACTCATAATGAAATTTGAGCTTTCAAAACAGTTCACAAAATAAGCAATTTAATGCATGGTTTGTCACTTTTGCTTTCATAACAGCTGTAAGATAAATAAAATAATGAGATATTTACAGCACAAGGTCATGCAGTTTTTGTGATAGCAGGTTTTCATATAAGATTACAGCTAAAAAAGGGGAAGTGCTGGGTTACATAACTCACTAAAATTTGACACTTAGAATTTGTGTTATAACAGCACTTCATAGGCTATAGATGGGGCTGTTTCAAGTTCTGTTGTAAATCTGACTTTACAAGCCTTTAATGTTCTGTAGGCTAATAAAAATCATTCTAGGATTGAACGTGTGAAATAAAAAAAAAAGGTGTTTTTAATATATTTTAATGCTCAGGGTATTTTGTCATCTTTGTTTTTCACCAAGATTGCATTGCTCTTGGATTTTTGAATAAATCTTAAATCTTACTTTCATGTCTGAGAAAGGAGGGGCAAGAAAGAAAAGGAAAAAAATAACAAGGCATCCCAAAAATAGAAGTCTTGCATTTGCAAAGTAAAGTTTAAGGTATCAATGTGAGCTTTTGGCACTGGAGAAAAGGGCATAAATATTGAGCATGAAATATAGTGTAATAATAAGTGATAGCATTTTCACATGGTTGAAGTATAAGCCTTCCAGGAGCTACAGAGGATAAGCTGTAAGCCCCAGAAAGTCAGCTTTTCTGGAAGACTACCCCTGTGCACTGCGCATCTCTCCTTGTTTGAAACATCTGGGGTTCTAAGCAGGAGAGCAAATTGTCTGGCCTGAAATTTTGAGGGTTTATGTAACTTTTGCATGGTATTTTTGAAGGATTCACCTGCTTGGCAAATACTATGAAAATGCCAACAGTTAGGAAGTGTGATTAAGAATATCCATCTTGATTCCACATAAGCAGCAGTGGCTCACAGGAGGTGTTAGCCCTCAGCCAAACGTGCTGCACTTTGCCATTTAGGCAGCCTTGGTGCAAGGCAGTGCAGGGCTGCCGTAACAACCTGCCCCAGAAACTTCCCTCCCTTCCTTTGGTGGTAGTGATGTAAGAACAGTGAAAACTTCAGGTCAGGAATACTGTACTAGCATTTCCCTCAGTCCCCATGCTACTTTGTCATTTATGCTAGTTGTATTTGGTATTGGAGTGGCTGTTTCTGGCTGCCTTGGCTAATCTGGAAGGAGGGGATTGTCACATGCAAAGGTGACAACAGCCCGACTATGACCTGCAAGGTTTTCAATGGCCTCATCTAAGGGAAGGAAATCCATGCAAGAGCATAACCCTAAGGCCAGGAGGGGTCTGGGAGCAAACACCTATAAATTTCTCTCATCCCTACTCCTTTTCCTGTGTCCATGGGCTTCAAGTCATTCGTTTCCTCAGTGAGTATGGTAAGTTTTCATCAGTGTTTGGTGACCATGGCATGCTACCCTTCTTCACCATGTTGTGGTGTCCCAAGTATCTCTGGCATTGCTGTTCCAGCCGGTTTCCATGCACAGGACATGTTGCATTTTGTTACTGTTAGGTGAAGGAGAAAGAACTGGGGAAGCTGTTGAGTCTGCCCACCACATAAAGCACGGGGACACAAGGGAGCCCCAGCAGTCACAAAACCTGCAGCACACAGTGTATGCTCTGGACACAAGCACACTCTGTTTTTGTCTGTAATTCAGCCACTGGGAGGGATCCCATGGGCTGGGCTGTGCTCTTTTGGGCTGGCAGAGATAACCAGGCTTGCATTGCACAGGTGAACAAGAGACCTGCCAGGGATAAAAGGGGAAATCGGCGTAGGATAAAAGAAGCTCCAAAAGATAGTGTGTCCTGTCACTTTGGTCCCTGGTGAGGTGGCCAGCTGCCAGCTCCTCCCAGACAGCTTCAACATGAGCTTAAATAAAGTTTAAGACTTCTGGCTGTTTATCTAATATTGTTCATTGTTCTGTACAGACAATTGCATAAATTAAGGATTCATATATGGGGGTAAATAAGTTTGTTTTTTCAGATTTTTATATATTGCCTTCATTCTGCATAGATAGGAAGCTATGGTCCACAGCTTTCCTCACAGTTAGGCAAGAAAGTAACTTCTCTTAATGTTAAACACTCTTGCTTTGGGATAGAGAGGGGGAGATTGAAAATTTAGAGGAGTTGTGAAACTGTCCCCCTCAGATATACTCTGTGGTAAAAAAACAAAGGCTTTTTATTAGTATTATTTTTCCTATAGTTAGATCTTCCCTTGAACACTTTTGTATGCTGTATTCTTTACTCGTGTTTTCTAACTTGGGCTTAAAACTTCCATGTAGCTGGGGACTTCCTTTCCCGAGTTCTTGTCCACAAGAAATTACAGGACAGGAAGAGATAGAATTCCTGCAAGAAGTAAGGCAAGGACAGGAGCTTCAGGTGAGCACATCAGAACTCCTCCTAGAGAAAGAGAATTAAGGTATCTTTGGTGGTATGAATGCTTTATTTGCCTCAATTTGCATCCTTTGAATTCATGTCGTACTGTTGTCATGCTCTATCATGACAGTTGTTCAAGTGCCCAATTTTTAGAGCATGCACAATAGCAAAATCCTTTTAAAATGATAATACCTGGTTGGAGTATATCTGGTTGTGTGTTAGAACTGTTAGACATAGGAGGTTTTGTTTTAGGAAGTGTAAAATAATGTGCCTGCAGGTGTCGGAACCCAAAATGTCCCTCAGACATTTTTAGAGGTTCCAGGCCTTGGTCAGAAGCATTTTAGACCCTGGCAAGCAGCTGAAAACGACTGTGATTTTGAGTTTGAACCATGGAATGAATTACCAACTTTGAGGGTGCAACAAGCAGTCACAGAATGTTAGATGGTATAGTAAAAGTAGTCACAAATTAGAGGGTAAAATTTTTTAGTGTTGTACAGGGGGGTTTTAGTACCTGTACAGGGGGGTTTTCACTTTGTACAGGGGGGTCAGGAGTTCTAAAATGGAGGAAAGTGGTCCTTATCTTATTCTTCCTCCTTCTTCTTCCTTACCTCCATGTTCTTGGTGATGTTGGCATTCACAGATTGGTTTAGAGTAGAAAAGCACATTGTAACGTAGATAGTAGGTATTGGGGAAAATCTATAAACATATAGTACGTAATATATCATATAAAAGATAGTAGCAGCTTTGGGCGGGGAGAGAGACGACGGAGACACCAGACAGTGAGGGTGTCAGGAGAGTGTGTACCTCTGCCTGGGCCGCAGACCAAAGCAGCCGCAGCGGGCGAGGACAATCTTTTAGATAGCTAGCAATAAACTACCTTGAGACCGGACAACAAGAGGCTGTGGAGTTTTTCTTTGGAAGCGCGGGTTGGAGGAGAGACTTTACCACCACACGAGAGCCCCAAATCAATCCCGGGGTTCTCACATGCAGGCAGCTGTGCAGTTTTAGTGTGAGGAGGACTGTGCTGGATGGTTTCAGAGGCGTAAAACAATAAAAAAAGTGTGTTCATTTTAAGCCTCAGTGCCTTCTGTAGTTTCATTTCAAAGTAGGGAATCTCTTACTTTATGCAGTTTTTATTCCTAGTGAGGGTTTAGTTAAGGGATGGAACCACAGACAAGTCTGAGCACAGATCAGTTGTTTGCTTTGCTTTTATATGCTTTGATATCAGCAGTGCATGGTGAATTGGCAGCACAGCAAGTCCTGTGATAAGAGTGAATGTCTGGGCCGTAGACTGTCCCTGTGCTCCACCTTGAAATCTTCTGGGTATCTCCTGCTCCCCTCTGAACATAACATGAGGGGTGTGTTCTTACAGGTAGTGAGAAAGCATCTGAGCAATTATTCTTCTTGAGAGATGCTGATTTGAAGGGAAAGGAGCGGGGCAAACACCGCTCTGTGTTGGACACGTGGTGCAAGTGGCTGCTTGTGAGTACCACCTCTGCTTGTGTTGTGGAGGTCCCAGGACAGATAAACCCAGGTTTAGCCATGCACGTTTTTTAATTACATAACCCTTTGGGGGTGGCTTTGTGTACTCATCTACTACCAGATCAGAAAATAGGAGTAGTCTTACTAAGCCTTTTGCCACATGTTTGTTGAGGCTGTGGAAGCACACAGCAAGGGTTCTGTTGCATTGTGTAGAAAGTGAGTTCTTCCTTGGAGATCTGCTTATTTTTACTTTTGAGTGTGTGTAGATTTAACTGAAGAGCATGTATTCACACAGTTGTTCTATTTAAGTTAATGTGGGGTGACTCAGTGTGTATTCACTGCTGTGAGCCCACAGTGACTGCAACAGAACATTTTATTGTCTGAAGACAATGCTAATAATGGTAGCATTAAAACAGCCTTGGAATTTTACAAGACAATATTCTGTTCCCTGAACTGCCAAGGGACAAAGAGATTTGCCATTGTCAGACAGGGGAACAGGAGCCGGCCTGCAGTGCAAACAGTGCCCTCCACTTCTGCTGGGCTGGGCTGGGGTGTCCTGCCCCTCTCTGCTTCTGCTTCCTGGGACCTGCTCCAGAGTTTGTCACAGCAGCAAGCACCCTCTGCAAAGCAAGCACTGCAGCAGCTGGCTCTGCTGAGAGCTGTTGTAACACAGCCCTTCCCAGGGTGATCCTACTCAAAGCTGCTTTCATCCAACAGGTGAGCTCTCTTGGCCAGCTGAAAGGGCTGGAAAGGGCAGGCACTTCTTTGGCTGCCCCCCACCTATCACTGCTCTGGCGCTTGATCCCACCAGGTATGCGGTTTGCTGAAGGAGAATTTGGGATAGGTGTAGTGCTTTGCAGTTAATACATTATGACTGCTATGGCATTCCCATAACTCACAAAACAGTGATTCAGAAGTGATGCAGTTTACATTGGTCGTGCATTTCTTTACCATGAACTTTGATGGAGGGATTGTAGGATGAAACCAATGGGACTGTAGTGACAAGTGGAGGGCAGCTGTCTTTGTAGCTGAGGTGTATGTTATAAGTACTAATGAATTGTTCATTATGAAATTAATAAGTATTACATATATATTATTAATGCTTAGCACCACCTTTTATTGTGTAAAAACAATAATGGTTTTCTTATCAAAAGAATTGTTAATAATGCTTGGACCCTGAAACCAAAGATGCAGAGGTGGGAGTTGTATGTATTTATTCTTTCATAGGAAATAGTTAAAGTAAAACATTTCTACCCTCATAGGTACTGCTCTGCAGCAGGTTCCTGGTATGCTGATGTAATAGATTGGATAATGACAGCGTAGACAATAAGATGTGAAAATGAACTGAAGAAGAGACTGTTGGCAGTGCAGAGACACTGGCTGGAAACCTCACCAACTGTAAACCACATTTGTAGTACCATGGCTTACATCCAGGATGGACAGCATCTGCAGTGCAAAACCATTTGGAGGCTCACTGGTGGTGAGCACAAAGTTTGATCTCTGCATTAGTAACTAGCAGATTAGATAGGTGTGAATCCAGGCTCTGTCTTGCACTGAACATCCTTGAGATGAGAATCCACTTAGCTTCTTTAATGACTCCAGCAGCATTTCCCGGGAGCCGTGTGACAAAGTACCAGAGGGTTGGGCTTTGATTTCAGCAGCTTCATTATGGAGTTGTGCTTATCTCCTAAAATGGATCCTTTCAAAATTTTTGTTTGGTTTATGTTTGGTGGGGATAGTGAAGAAAAAGAGCTGATTTAAGGAAAATTGAATGGGGGAAGAGTCACATGTTTTGGAGTGTTGAGATTCCAGGCATCCTTACTGTGAAAAATGGGAGTTTAATTACCCAGATTTTGTGTGGGTTTGCTGAGTTGTTTTAGTTTGTTTGTCCTCTGTAAGTCTCTACTAATGCTATTATTTTCTTTCACTAAACAGAAAAAATTAATTCAGTGATCTCTGTTGCTCAGTGTCTGCTGGGAATACTGGTACTGAGTTGTATCACTGCAAATATTGGTGTGTTCTTGCTTGTACTGTTGGCAGAAACACTGGGAAGAGTCAAACAGCCTCAATATTGCTTATATCTTCTATTTTCTTTTGACAAAATCATTGCACGGTTCTGCCTCAACATGGTCTTCTGTGAGCTGCAAGGAGCAGCAGTTATTGAACTGGCTAATTCAGTCCATGTAATATGTACCATAGAACTCTATGGAGTACTTTCAGCAATTTCCCTGCCTCATATACATTTTGGGGCATCAGAACATCTCCTTTGATTAGACGGTTTCTAAACAGCAACATTTGTTATACCTGTCACTTGATTTTTGTTCCAATATATCACGTGTCTCCATGTGTCCCTGCATATCTGTATCACCAATACAGGGGATTTGAGGCATGTTTTCAGCATGGCATCCAGGCTTGCACAGAATGGCACAGCCCATCAGCCCTCTGTTTAGCCTCTGCTCACACTAACATTAGCAGCTTTTTATCTTTTTCACCCCCTTAGCACTAGCAGCTTTTTATCCTTCTCACCCCCTTTCCTGAAATGACTCCTTAATGCTGTACACAAGAGTGCCTGTTAAGTCGATGCCTTGCTGAATAAATTCCAGGTGCCTGCTGCTAAAAAGGAAGAGATGATGCTTTTCTTTCTCTACATGGTTCTTGTTCTCATCCTTATGCTTTCTTGATTTTTCTCAAGTCATCCTGTTTTGTTTGCTGTTGGCAAATAAATCACCAAGAGATGCAAAAAGCAAAAGAGTGGAGGGAATGCCCGGTGCATACTGAGAAGCAAATATTCCAGTCTTTCAAGCATGGAGAAATGAAAAGAGGTGGATATAGATGGTGATGAATTTAAACATGTACTTATTTATTACTCTGTCTTCCATGTCTGGATCATCTGCTGCTGAGGAGTGGATGAGACAAAGAAACACTTGATTTTTGGCACCACTGAAATGAGGTGGCAAGATGAGATCAGAGAATCGTATAGGTTGGAGGGGACTTACAGAGATCACTTAGTCCATCCTGCTGTCCAACCTGCATCCCATCTGATCAGGTTGCTCAGGGCCATGCTCAGGACACTTTTGAATATCTCCAAGGATGAAAGTCCAGCAGACATTGTGGACTTCTGTTGCAGTGTTTCACTTCCCTGAAAATGAAAAGTTTTCTCTCCTGTGTAAGGTTGTAATATCCCAAGTTGCAGCTCTGATGGTCCCCTTGTAGCTCTCTCTTTTCATGATTGAGCAAACAGAGTACCCTCACCCTCTCTTCCTACGCTCTAGCTCCTCAGCTGGCTCTGGCAGTGGGCAGCCTGTGCTGCTCCTGGCAGCATGTCTACAGGAAAAACTCTTTTCTGTGCTGCATCCCATGAGTACCCTGAGACTGGTTTCTCTTTTCATATCAACTGACCTTAATTTCTTTCCTTTTTCAACCTTTTTGCATGGCATCTCCGAAATAGTAGCATTTTCAAGCTATAGCTTTCACCACAGTATGATGTCACATCAAAATCTGTGTATGATAGTAGAAAAGGAAAAAAGCAATGTTAATTCTTAGCTCAAATGCTTTTGTCTCTCATGATGTTCATTTTTACAACTATATCCATTCAGCAAGACTTGATCCTGACTTTTTTTTCTTAAAGAACTTAAAATGTGTTGTCCAGTATGAAATTAAATATTCTGCAGTCAAATGCAAACATTCAACCCAAAAAGGCAGATGCTACTCCAGGTCCAGTATCTATGTGCAAGTCACATTCTGTTAGCAAATTAAGTGGAAAAATGGCTCTTAAATAGTTTCATCTGCTGCTTTCCTATTTTTTTTATATTAGGTTGCCCCTGGTATTTCAAGAGTTTCTATCGAGGTACTGTATACTCTCACAGCAAACCCAAACACATTTTAGCTGAGCAAAGAACATTTGGAGACTGGCTCGCTTTTAACCTCTGCTAAGGCCCTTGTCTTTCTCAGCAGCACTGAGTGTGGTGTTGATATCCAACATTCTAGCTATGGGAGAAAAAAGAACACTTCAAGATAGAATTTCTGAATCTTAGTGAATCAGGTGTAACAAATACTGGCCTAAAAGAAGACATCAGATTGTAAAGATCCTGAGAAGCAGGATCAGGCATGCTTAAACACCTAGGTTAACGAGCAAAGAGCTGTAGCACTTCATGAATTCTCATGTAACTTTTTAAGATATCCACTATCTCAGAGCTGAAAATTCACACATAGCTATTCTGTATATATATTCTAAAAATGTTATGACCATTAAATATTGTCTAATATATTTATAAATTCAGAATGGCTAATTTAGACTTTGGACGATTCCTTTTCTTCTTACAAGTATATTTGAGAGTTCCTCTAGAGTAATCCACCAACTCATCAAGGAACTATTGAGTATAAGTTAAAGCAAATTGTATGTCAAGAGATTGACAACTTGATTTTATGTTATTTCTCACTGACTGAAGAAATTGGATCTGTCTCTCCATCCCTAAAATAAAGTAATCCAAACACAATATTGAAGCGCTCGTGAAGAGCTGTTGCTTGACACAATGTGCATCCCTTTACAAGGTGCATGAATAAAATATCAGACAGGTAGAGTTTGTGACCCAGTTAGAAGTTATGTGCATGATCTCTTCTCCTTGGTTGAACTGAGGAAACATCTAGAGTGGGTTGAACTGAGGAAACATCTGAGTTTTTTGGTTTTGTTTCTTTTAGTGAAAGGGTCATTTATGAATGTGTGCTCTTTTGATTTGGGGCGGAGCTTAAACTAGCTAAACATCCCAAAACTTAATATACACAGTGAAATTTTATTAGGTAACTGCATGAAAATCAAAGAGATTCTTTTGTAGACAGGATGCATGAATCCCCTTTTGGTACTTTCAGCACATCTGCAGCTAAGTCCTGTTTTCATCTCCTCCTCTTCAGCAAGAAGGGTTAATAATAGATGTATGATCTGCTGCCAAGGGTGGTGAGCCAGGGATGTGAGGAGGAATGGACTATATTCCTTCCACTTCCATGGTGCCTTCTTCATGTAGCCAAAATGCAAAGTCTAATATTTCAAAAGGCAGTCTTCAACTTTGTACATTCCAATTTGATTTGCTAAAATTGGTCTCCATAGACACCAAGCACCTATTTCATGGTCACAGTTTGACTTTTGGATGCTTAGTACCTCTTGAAAGTATACACAGAATTTCTGAATTTAGGCTTAATTAAGCATTTCCATAAAAGATACAAGCCTATCTTTTTCAGTACCTGAATTCATCTTTCTTTTCTTGGTAAAAATTACCAAATAAAGTATATCTGTTTATAAAAACCTATTTATATCTATAATGTGGACTAACTGTTGGAAAAGCTAGTAAGCTTCAAATGTGCTCCAGTTACATCTCTCCAATTTAAGTTATTTATTTCAAAAATAGTTTTTCTTTTTTGGTAGATTAGGCAATACTGAATACAATTATTTTTTTTTTGAAAAATCTGTCCAATGTTAACTCTCAGAATGAAAGACTACCTGCAATAATATCATAATTATGTGAGACTCATAAAAAAAATGCAACAAAACAAAGAATCACAGAATTAACTAGGTTGGAAAAGACCTTTGAGATCAACACAAAAAAACACCATGCAAGTGAAGAAATAGAGGATTCCATTAAGGGAAACACCAGATACACTTTCTGAGCAAGATCACTGACACATACAAATATGAATATTTCATATAAACCGTCAGACTTTTTAAATCACCTTTTGCTGACAGTTACCAAAGCCAGCAAAATTTCACAATGTTTCATTCAGGCAAAGGTCAGTGATGAACTGAATTTCATTCTCTTAAATGTTTCCATTTCTTTTTTGTGGCTGTGTCACTGCCTTGATTGTTTGCAGTTTGTTTGGTTGGGTTTTTTTCCCTCTATTGCATTTGTGGGATTTTTTTTGGGGGGGTGGGGGGGAGGAGATTAGGGGTTTTTTTGTTGGGTTTTTTTTTGGTTTTGTTTTTGTTTTTATTCAATAAAGCAGTGAGATTAATATTTTTGCAAAGAAAGATGTTTAGGAGGGTTTTTTTTGGGTTTGTTTTTTTTTTTTGTTTTTTTTTGTTTTTGTTTTTTTTTTTTAACTCATGGGAAACATATTGGAAGTAAGCTTTCCTGTGTTGTGCAAGTTGTGGTTCCCACCTCCTGGTGTCCTGGTGTGCTCCTCTGCAGAGCATGGGCAGCAGCTTCAAGCTCCCTCTCCACTCATTTACAGCTTGGCCAGCTTGGGCACAGAGCATTCCTCTCTGTGTGTCTGCACATGTCGGTGTGTGGTGTCATAATTAAGATTCGTTGTCATCCAGGCAGTTCAAATAAAGTTTCATGTGTGGTTTTCACTTTTCCTGTTGTGGTATCTCTATGATTTTTGTGTTCAAGGATGAGACTTCTCTGAACTTGTATGAAGGCAAAAGGGAGAGCAGCTATAGAAAGTATATTTAGGTATAAGTTTTTTAGCTTTTCATAAGATGCTTTTAGTTGGCATGATGTTGCCTATCTGAAAATTGTTTTATAATATTTTCATGCCATTTTTCTTTCATGTCAATCTCCATAAACAAGGCAAAACAGTCTTTGCTTTAATTATTCTTTATTAAGATTCATATCTTTGAGATTAAACTGAGATAAGCTTTGGCAATTCTCAGGTTGTGGTTGTCTAAAGAGGAGCCAGACTGAGGAATAAAGTTCCTTGTTTTCCAGCAAGTAAAAATGGGAAAAATCAGCAACACTCCCTGAATCCTCACTACAGTGCCTGCATGCTTACCCCAGGCACGGGGCACACCATGCTTTTGAGTTAAGAGATGATGAAGAAGATACATCCTTGCCAATGCCTTTGAGAATTTGTTATGAGATGTGTCCCTCTGCTGATAATATCCAGGGACAGATGTCTCTTCCATTCTTCAGATGTATCTCAAATAAGAAATCCAGATGTTAGGCTGGCCTCTTTCTCCATTTTAAAATCCTCACTGGGCTCTTGCTTACGTGGCAAACACTTTGGTCATTCCTTCCTTTGGGTTTTTTTTAATTTTGAATATGCACTGCCAGTCACAGGACTCTATGATTTGTTTTTCTCATATCATCGGTGCTTTTTATTGTAAGAATATTCAACTGACAAGGGACCAGCTAAAGGGATCACTGGTGGAACAAGGTGGAGTTTTCTATAGTTCTGTATGTTATGTTCATGTTTCAATGACTCTTAGTTCTAAAGGTCTCAACCTCATTGTGAAGGTATTATTTAATAAGTCTTCTAAATGTGTTGTACTACTGGAGTGGCCTGGTACCACAAATGACAGGCGAGTTTCTGTCTTGCCAGTGCCCAGCTGTCTCCAAGTCTGTCTTGAAAAGGATCATCACCCCTGCCTGAACGATTTGCATATCCTTTTGCTTACCAAACAGTCAAAAAATACATTTCTAAAAAATGGTAAAAATGTTTAGAATTTATCTAGTTACAAACTTAACTTTAGCTGCACAGATCTCCTCATACTGGTTGTTAAAATTTTCCACTTGACCTTGATTTCAGCAGCAGATAAGAGATTTCCTGTTGAAATTAGGATAATGAGCCATTGCGGTATGTCAGCTGCCCAGCCATTGTGGACTGTTTTTCTAGGCATTCCAGGAGGATTTTTTTTGAAAGAAATTTGAATGAGTGTGGGATTTTATAGAGAAAAAAGCTACAGAGAAATGTCAGTTCAAAGAAGAAAGTGGTGGCTCACACCCATATAATTAAAGAAGTTAATATATTTTTACAGTCTTGAGTATAGTCCAGAGTTTCTTATCTTGGTTTGGGTGCTCCCTGTCTAGGTGAGGCATTTTCTGCCCTTACAGAGGAGATTAAATCTTAGCTGAAACTCAAAAGAGAAAACCAGCTTTGTGTACACCACTCAGTGTCGTGATTTTTTGTGATTTTGAAAAGTCTGATATTAGCTGTTCTTATGGTGTTTTGGATCTCAAATGGTATTGAGTATTTTTTTGTTTTTTCTTTCTCTTACTTTTCTCTCTTTTGTCCACAAAAAAACCAACTTTTTCAAAGAGAACTGAAAAGATAAGGACAGTTGCTTTAAATACTAATGTTGAGGCCATTTGCACCTGTCTAGTAGGAGCCAGTGACCAATCAGTTCTTTGTATATATCTCAGCTACTGTGTGTTTGGCACTACATCAGCATATCTATTATTGATTTTTAAGAGAAGTACTGTGGGGGCACCTAATGTTCCTAAGAAAAAGTATTGCAGAGATCAGTCTTTCCTGTTGGAGTGAAGCAGGCTGGATGGGGCTTTGAGACAACTTGGTCTAGTGGAAGATATTCCTGGCCATGGTGGGGGTGTTGGAACCAAATGATCCTTAAGGTCCCTTCAAACCCAAACCCTTCTCTGATTCTATGATACAAATCTGCTTGCACAGGCCTTGTTAAGTTACTTAAAGGGAAAAAAGAGATCTAAGAAAGAGTGAAGAAGGAATGGAATGGTGACTGCATACCATGGCAGCTGTGCCCCACTGTGCCTGCCTGCAGGAAGTAAGTCTGTCCATCACCAGGAAGAAGCTGAGCTCTCAATGGTAACAAACATGTTCAAACTCTACTGTGCATCCAGTGTAAAGCAACATATACTGCTGTATTTTCATCTGAGTCATACAACTGCAGGAGAAATGAAATCCTGGGTCTCCAGATCCAGGAAGAATGCAAGAAAGAATTAAAAAGTACCTAAGAATCAACTATAGTAGTTGTCAGACATAAGTTGCCTTCTTGGAGGCCAAGCATTTGGTATTGGTTTATCACAAGTAGGTTAGTTCTTCCAGTGCAGGGCTGGCCTGGTATTCTACTGTAAATTCCATGGAAGGAGTGGGACAAGCAGTCTGTTTATTTCTTGTCTATTTATCATCTTCCTTTCATATATTCATGGAGAAAAACAAGTGCATGTAACATTGGTGGCCTTTCTGGGTTCTGCATGGGAACTGGGCCATACTGGGAGGTAGCTGGAGTAATCAAACTTTGGTGACAGGAGTCTCTCATGGTGCTTACTAAACACATAAGAGTTGCACTTGCATGAGTAATTAGAACTTTAAAAATATTCATGTGACACCTCTTATGCTAAACAGTATTAAATTGGGAAAGGAGGATCTCGTGCTTTTAACTATCCTGGTAAGTCTTTGCTCATAAACTCTACTGAAATTTATGCTATATTCTTAATTTCCTCTACTTTTTCTTGCACTTCTGTGTTAATATTTAAAATACTCACTGTGGTGTATGTGGCCCTTCTCAGCTGTGTTCAGGGTGTTGTGTTAAGAGATTCATCCGAAATGTGTTGCTGAAGGGCACTATCTTGGAGTGATAAAGTGCTACTGGACATCTATTACCAGAACAGTTCATCTGCTTAAACAAGGCAATTAGTACATGGTTCTGCCTTGAGCTGTTCATCCTGCATCTACCAGTGCTGCCTGTCTGAGGACTTACTGTCTGTCCTGCTGGCAGAGACATGAATCCTCAGAAAGTTGTCCACATTGCTGCTTCACAGTCCCATATATGAGAATATTGTTTGTTACACTGAGGAACTTGTACAGTCTGTAACTTAGTTCAGAACTTGGTCTGCCTCCCCATTACTCTTTAAGCTTTATTCATTGACAGTTTTGTCAGTGCACACTGCTGCTGCAGATGCAAAATAGCATCACTGGGGTTTTGTTCCATGGCATGAATGATGAAACTAGTCATGCACTGAAAGCTCCACAGAATATTTATCTGTTTCAGTTTTGTATGTATATCTTCTTCAGTCATTTCTATCCTGGGTCCAGAACCAAGTTCAGTGAAGCCCGTGTGGTGTGTGCTTTCCTGGTGGTTTCACAATTTAATGGATACCCTCTGGGGAAATCCTTGAGACCTGGAGCAGTATGTTTATTGTGGCACCAGAGGATTCCAGCAACTTGCTCTACAATAACTACTCCAGTATTAATACTTCCACTTTTTATGACTGTGACCTCTTTATAACACTTAGAAGATAAAATAGTCTATACATTCTTAATGTAGTGTTCACTAAACAACATATTTCACTATGTAGCTCACACTGACATTCATATCATAAATGTGTCTGTTTGAATTACTACTATTGGAATAAATCACATGTATGTTAGTCATTATGTTTAAATACTTGTATCATTTAGAAACTAAAAGTGTATTCTTGTTGGTATGGGAAGAATAGAACTCTTGTGCATGCACTTATGTGATGACTGTGTACTGGAGCTCTCTTAAAAGCCATTATGATAGTGGGTCTTCCTTAGCCTGGCATTTCTCCCCTTCTGCTGGTTGTCATCAGCCTCACAGCAGAGAGGAAAACTGCTTCTCCCCTTCCTCCATCACTGCCTTTTGTATAGAAATGTGTAGAAAACTGCGTCCCACAGCAGAGGTGTTTTCCTCCCTAAGAAATACACTGACTTATTTTTCCCTTGCCTTTTGCATATGCAAATGCTTAATTACAGGAAAATTATCTCAAAATTCTAAAATTATGTGCTTTTCTGTCAGTCAATTTAATGTGAAGATATTTGCAATCATTTTTAGCAGGTTATATTTACACAAAATATAAAGGTTTGGGGTTTTTTCTGCATGGACTTTAATAACTGGTTTAAAATTCCAAAGAGTAGGTAATAGTTTTGTGGAGAAAAAGGAGAAGGTGTGATATATGAAATGAAAGATGTATTGATTGAGACTAGACAGGAGTAGTATTTTCTAAATACAATACTGCCATGGTTTTAAAAAGCATTGTCTAAAATAAATATTTTAGAAAAGGAAAAGAGACTAAGGGAAAAAAAGCAAAATTTTTACCTATAGACATATAAAAATTAAAGAGTAGATTTCTCGTACTTTTTGTTGTTAGCTTGGAACATATCCTGTCATCCCTCCCAGCAAGGGAGATGTGGAGGGTTTTTGAACACACAAATATTTTGCTCTTTAGCCTTTACTTTGAGTATAGGAAAATACATCATCACTGTAGAGTCCATATTTTCATGTCAAAATCAACTAGCAGCTGCCCTAAAATAACACTAACATTTACATATTGATATTTTTCCCTCAGTTACTTGTAAAGTAGCTGACATTGATTCCATGCCCTACTAAATTTTTATCATAGAAACAGAGTTGTGAATTTTTCTTTGCAGTATTTTCTCTCTTTATTTAGAAATAGCCAAAACCACAACAAAATGGCTTGTTTATCTGTAACAAGACCTTAAAATCAAAATTTTTTTGTCCTTCATCAGTGAATTAAAAATTGCATTTTGACATTTGAGTCCTGTTTGCATTTATTCATTGATCCCCAGCACAGATGCATTTCATCTCGCACGTCAGATACTGTGTCATGTGCAAGCTTGTGTTCTGAGGCTTCCCTAATGACCTTTTAATTAGTTGTTGTTATTATTATACAGCTCACAGGCTTCAGCCACATTGATGTCATCATTTATCTCACCTTTCATGTGAAATAGTCCTGATTGCTGCTGTGGCTGCCTTGCACTTCTTCCCCTCCCTTCTCCTGGCATGGACTGGCCTTGGTGTCCTGCTCCCATGACCTTCAACACTGATGTACATGCACCTGCAATGTTATTGCTATGCTGTGTTTTTGGTTTTTTTAATGCCTTTTTCATATATTCTTTTTTGTCTTTTTTTTTTTTTTTTTCAGAATCCTCTGGAGCATTACATTCCCCTGTTTGGAGTGTGGACAAGAGTTTGGCATTCTACTTTCACAGGTACCTTTTTGAATTAAAATGCACGTTTCTTTCCTAGAGGTTGATAAAAGGAGAGCAATTCCAGAACGATTTTACTGTATCCTCCTCTGCTATCTTGGGAGGTATATTGTGATAATGAGTTTCTCTTCCTCCACCTTTATAGCCCTTTGGGCTGGCAGATTCATTAGTTGCAAGTATATAGCTGAGTGCCATTTCAGAAATATTGAGGCTTTCTCTTCTCTTGCTGGCCTCAGTCACAGAGCCATGTATGTGTTACAGAATAATTTTTGGAAGTACTCCAGTAGTTCCAGGCTTTTTCTCACCCTTTATTCCCAAACTGTACTTTGGTTACAGTCGCTCCATTCAGTAAATTTGTTTTAGCTTTTTACAATGGAGACCTCCAGTGCAAGTGAACACTTCTTGCCTTAGTCTTCCAGAGCTTTCTATTTATTTCTGTTACTTACCTGACTCCTCTTTGGAAGTATTCCAGTAGTTCCAGGCTTTTTACCACCCTTTATTCCCAGCCTGTACTTTAGTTACCATTTTTCCATTCAGTAGGTTGTGTTAGCTTTTTGTAACAGAGACCGTCAGTACAAACAAGCCCTGGTAGCCTCAATACTTCAGAGCTTTCTGTTACTTATTTGGTTATTACTACTACTTTCCAAATACTGAGTCACACAAAATCAGAGAATGAATGAGGTTGGAAGGGACCATAGTGGGTCATCTGGTCCAACCTTCCTGCCTAAGCAGTGTCATCCTAAAGTATATGATATAGAATTTTGTCCAGACAGTTCTTGAATATCTCCAGTGAGGGAGCCTCTACATCCTTTCTGGGCAATCTGTCCTAGTGCTCAGTAAAGAAGTTTTGCTGGTAAAGTTCTTCCTCATATTCAGGTGGAACTTTCTGTGGATCAGATTCTGCCTGTTGCTTCTTGTTCCTTTGCTTGACACCTCTGAGAAGAGCCTGGATCTATCATCATGGCACCCTCCCTTCAGATACTGATAGACATTGATGAGGTCCCGTCTCAGTCGTTTCTTCTCAAGGCTGAACAGGCCCAACTCTCAGTCTTTCCTCATAAGAGAGATGCTCCAGTCCCTTAATCATCTTTATTGCCCTTTGCTGGACCTGCTCCAGGAGCTCCATGTTTCTTTTGTGCTGAGGAGCTCAGAACTGACACAGCACTCCAGATGTGGCCTCACCAGGGCTGAGGAGAGGGGCAGGATCACCTCTTTCATCCTACTGGCAATGTCCTTCCTAATGCAACCCAGGACACCTTTGGTCTTCTTGGCCACCAGGGCACTGCTGGCTCATGGACAGATGTTGTCCACCAGGACCCCCAGGTCCCTCTCTGCAGAGCTGCTTTCCAGCAGGTCAGTGCCCAGCCTGTGCTGGTGCATGCAGTTATTCCTCCCCAGGTGCAGGGCCCTACATTTGTCCTTGTTAAACTTCAGAAGATTCTTCTCTTCCCATCTCTCCAGACTGTCAAGGTCCCTCTGAAGGACCACGCAGCCCTCTGTGGAATTGACCACTGCTCCCAGCTTGATGTCACCAGTGAACTTGCTGAGGAGGCATCTGCCCCTTCATCCAATCACTGAGGAACAAGTTAAGCCGTACTGGGCCCAGTGTAGAACTCTGGGGGACACCACTGGTGACAGGCCTCTGACTAGACCCTGTGCCACTGATTAAGACCCTTGGGATCTGCTGTTTAGCTTCTTCTCAATCCACTTCACTGTCCAGGTATCCAGCCCACACTTCCTGAGTTTGCCTATGAGGATGTTGTGAGAGACAGGATCAAAAGCCTTACTGAAGTCCAAGTAGGCAATATCCACTGCTCTCCCCCATGCATCCAGGTAGTTGTTTCATCACAGAAGGCAATCAAATTGGTCAAGCATGATTTACTTTTAGTGAGGCATTAAACTGATACTAGTGAGGAAATAAACTGGTACTCCTGAGCACATTGTCATCCATGTGGAGATAGAGATGGCCTCCAGAATGAGCCATTCCATCACCCTCCCAGGGAGGAAGGTGAGGCTGTCTGGCTGGTAGTTCCCTATATCCTCTTTCATGCCCATTTTGAAAGCTGGGGTGCTTTTTTCCAGTCCTCGAGCACAAGTCCACCCACAACACTCTGACCTTGATCTCAAGGTCTAAGCAGAAGATGAGCATTAAAGCTTAAAATCTTTATTTTTGTCACTAAAGCTCCAAAACAAAAGGTGTCAGGAATAATGGAAAGAGTAGCTTCATCCTTGGTAAGTACAAGTAAACCGAAATCCATGAAGGCAGGAGGGAACAGGGGCTGAACGTGTAGCACTTTGTAACAATGGTTGTAAAATTCTTCAAAGATTAATAAGGCACTTCTGGTATTTCATTGTAGCAAAGAAAAAAATCAGTAATCAATGTCAAATGTGTCATGTGTCAAATTAGCAGCACACTTCACTATTACTTAGTTTTAATTCTGCTCAGTAAAAGGCATTTAATGTCCATCTGTTTCCAATCAGCATATTTGGCTCCAGAATATAAATTTGCATTGTGTGGGGTCTTAAATTAACAATTATCACTGCTGTTTTATTTCAAGGCAAAATGCTAAGTCTGAGAGTACACATAGCTAATTTAAGGGTAAAAATCTGTTCCCTGAATGTGAAAATCATCTCAGAAGCCATTTCTGTCAGCTGAGGAATTGGGAATTTGAAATTCCATATATGTATTTGTCCTGGTTTAGGGCAAATTTGGGAGAGAATCTTTGAATTGCATACTATGTTTCATACATAGTATGCAATTAAGGCAGCAAAATGGTTTTAGCTGTGACATGGACTGACACCAGGAACATTCAAAGATCTTTGTTAATTTTTGTGATCACAAGTTAACCTACACTAATTTTACAGTCACATTTCATATTTTTACTTTCCTCATGTTGTGCTGCATGGGATTTATTTCTGCCATCTTGAAATGGGATTCAATGTTTTGTGTTCACACAGATGCTCCAGTAGCTCTGTAGTTTTGTTGGAAATGTATTGCTCATTTTGTCAACAGAAAAAAATGGATTTGTGATTTATGATGAAAGCAGCATTCTGTCCTGGCTGGGGTGACACAGGCAGCCCTCCCTTTTCATTAACTTTTACAGAATGCCTTAAAACCAGTCCAGATCAGTGATGGGCTGGAACTGGGACTGAGGGACATCCTCAGTGGGGGGACCCCATTTCCCAGCAGTGATGGGGATGGTGTGCTGCCAGAGCAGCTGAGCAGGAGAAGTTACCTTTATGAAGCAGGCATGAGCAGATGAAAAAACAGACTCCATGTGTCCTCATTTGAGGCTTGGCACCTTTGTTTCCATGTCCCATTATTTTTCTGCTTTAGGCATCTTAACCCTGCCATGCAGGGTTAAGTAGTTGCAATCAACTGCTTTAAAACTTTGCTGATACTCATCTCTTAATGAAGATAAAGCAGCAGATACAAGTTTGGCATACCTCTATCCACTTGCTGGGTTTGAGATGAATTTCATATGATACTTTGAGCAGCCAGTATCAATCCTGTATTTACCTTTCAGTTTGGAGATTTACTTTTGTTTACAGAAGAGGGGAGATCTATAAGTGTGGCTGTGTATCACATATCTTAGAGGAGAATGGATATGTAGCAATCTTGGGGTAGTCTGATACTCTCAGGGAGGGCAGGAATGGAGTAGTTTTAGCAGATTTGCTAAGCTATAAGTAGTCTATGACACCTGTGGTAGAGAGCATCCCTAGTTCAGGACTCCCCCAGGGACAAGACTAATGTGTATCTGGTCATGCAGTCAGCATGTAAAAGAGGTCTGAAGCATTGCCAAAAAGAACAGAATTTACTGAGGAGTCCTCAGCAAACCTCCGCACTCATTCAATTGACTGGTCAGTGTTTCTGGTTGCTGGATTTACTCCACTATGCATTTTCATCCTGAAAGTGTGTTGTTTTCTGAGCCTGGTATCCCTCTGTGATATGCTCCTGCCAGCCACCCAGTGCCAGCTCCTTTGCCCCCAGCCTTCCAAGCTCAGCAGACAGTGTGCCCCAGGCACAGAGACTGCAGGAGAGAGAAGATGTAGCTCTCTCCTGCAATGCAAAAATGGTCTGGTGAAGCAGGAGCTTTGCTTCACTGAGAGCTTCATGTTTCTCCACAATGCCCTTATGCCAGCTCTGCCTTCTGCAGGACACAGGAGCTGTGAGAGAGGAGATAAGGAAGAGAACTTGAGCTGTCTCTTCCTTTTTCCTATAATCCTTCTCTATCCTTGTAATCTCCTGCTTCCTAACTCACTCTTCAGCGCCTCTTTCTCTATTCCCAACACCTTCTCCTCTCTGCTCTTTGCCTGGTTAATAGCATTTCTGTTCTTCCTCTCTGTGTCTTATCATTGCTCACTTTTCTTTTGTCTGTCCCCATGCTCACAATTCCAGGTTTTGAGTTTGTTTAGTTTGTTTGTTTTGTTTGTTTTCTTGGAGTCTCTGCACTGCTTTCCTCTCTCCATTTCATTAAATGCAGTGGTTATGACTCAAAACAACTTTTGTTTTCTTTAAGATGGTGAGGATTTTATGGTTTCTTAAAATCAGTGGTCAGGAAGAATTTCCAGCATCATCATCATAACTTCATCAAAACCCTCAGATAGGGAAAAACCATTCAAAAGAATCTGGACAGTCTGATTTCTAAAACGAGGCTTTTCAAGAATATTGTTTAAGTGAAGAGTCATTAAATTAAACAGTAATATAAAGCCCAACTTTGAGTGTCAAATTTGCATATTAAACAAAAGTTTGGATGCTCATTGACATCTGGATATTCATCTCTAGTTACATAGGTTGTGAACAGTTTGTAAAGATCTATGGCACATATTTATGTAGCAACCAAGAAGAAAATGTACTCAGTGTATTCTAACAGCAAACACCTCAACATTTGTAGTCAATGCTCATATAAGTCTGAGGGGTTACGCACGCAGGTGTGTGACCATGTACAAGTGTAGCACTTGTGTTGAGTTATGCAGATATAATCATTAATTGCAACACCATC